CGATTATTACGTAGACTCTTTGTCAGCCTACGTTTAAGCTGCCTCCGCTTCTCATTGTGTTTAGAGCCAGACGAGATAGGTTTACGAGCATCTATCAGTGCTATAGAGGCCGCTGAAACCCACTGATTTTTCTTAACCTTTTGGTTTAAATTACTAGCATATATCACTGCTATTTCTACAGCTTTTTACGTATCATACCAAACTACCTCGGGATGAATGTCACTTTCACCTGAAATATATTCTTAACTTGTTAACTATCAAGTTGGACTCTAAGGGGTTTATTGATGTGGCTGCTCCACGTCCAGAAGGACTCAAACAAATACGTGCTTAAACGAGAGCATGATTCGCGTCTAAACATTTACTCCAGAATGAGCAACAGTCTTCAATTGAGCTCCTGCAACAATGGCTAATGACAATATGATCTATTTGAGTCCGTCGATGAGTTGATTGTGGTCTTCACACCGGACGATGTTTTTCCTTATGTTGGAATTTAATGTTCGCCAAAAATAGACGGTCATTTGGGTACAGTTGCAACAGACGGTCGCCACTATGTTCGTTGAGTTGCAACACTATAAGATCTGCCTAAGTACCATTTGGTTTGGTTTAATTTACCTACTTGGGCATTCAAATCACCAGCCACTATGACGACATCCGAGCCTTTAACTTTTTGAAGTCGGTTAGATAGCTTTCTATAAAATCCATAACTAACTTTATTTGAGCTTAATTCAGTTGGAGCATGGACATACAACGAAAAAGCAACGGCGTTTGTCTCTGTCTTTTCGGATTCTTACTGTTTCGTTTAATCGAACAGAGCATAAGAGATTGTTTATTGGAATCCAGTCTAACAGAGCCTGTTCTGTTCTCAAACTCAGTACTATACCTACATCAACGAGACCACGGAAAGTAGCAGTGGGGTCTCCAGACACTCGACGGGTAAATTTTACCGGTTCTTTATACTGAAAAAATGAGGTCAGATGAATGGCTGTACTTGGATACTGTATGCGCGTTTCGGAGACGCAGCACACGTCGATGACGCGAGATCCCAAAGTCCTTGTTAAAGAGGCCTTTCGTCCTATCTGACACAAGGCTATAACATCGAAAGCTCCAACATGTAGTTTAGAGCGTGGTTTCAGATCGCGAGTAACATTTCGTGAACTCAAGTCATTAGTGGAGCGTGGTGATAAAGATATACGAGGAGGGTTGACCACAATGATGGAAGAATTCCTAAAAGGTGAGAGATTTGGTCATCATTAAGATGATCTCGAATGCTGATATAGGTATGAGGTGGGTTGTCATTTTCTGACTGCCTACATCATTAAAGGACACTTGTTCTTGAACGTACTAAGAAAGAAGCTGAATTAATGGTGGTCTTAACGACCTGAGAGCGTAACTGAAGAGCCCAAGGGACAACTGCTTGAGACCGGTCGATCAAGGCCTTTAATAGGAAGTTTCTGATCCGTTAGCTCCGCACTTTAAAAGACCTTACCATTAGAGACGGGTATTCGTAGGGCAAGGCGAGGTGTGACATTTCAATCGACCTTTTCTAACTTCTTACTTCTGTTGAGAGAAGGCAACATTGCTAAATATGTTGGTTGTCAGAGAGAAACACCTTACTGCTGCCACACCCCTTTACAATCAGAAGTACTTCACATAATTAATGGATGATACTTCAAATTCCAAAATAAAACCTAAGTGGTGATTAGCCTCAAGCGATGCAGTGTCTGAGTGTGCACCCAAAACCTTTGGATATACTGGGTTTGAGAGTTTTGAGGACCAACTTGTGAAAGTCATAACACCCTTGATAAACAAATACATGAAATGAAAAGTCTTTCTATATTCGGTTATGAACTTCCTTGAACCATGCAAGGGTCGCACTTTCTAAGCTTTCAACAGAAATCCATAGATTAACGAGTGAAAATCGAAAAGCTTATGGTATAGGTGCATGGTAAAAGTCTCCTCTGAGCTAAAGAGTTTTGAAATACAGAGCAGTGATTAAATTTGTCAGTAATACTGAACAAAAGTCATCTAAATTCCCACATCAGAGACTAGCTACTACTGGCCTGGCTGAAGATCTTCAGATAGTATTGAGAGGTAGCGAAATTATAGCACACGTAAATTTTTCTAAGTTAGATTCTATGCACGACAAATATTGATTAAAATTACGCAGCGAACAGTAGTAAAATAAAACGGCAATGAACTAAAGATAGGGTTTTGTTATATCAGCTGTGCTACTCTGGTAACGGTTTGGGGAAATTGCAGCTTATATAGTACAGAAGGATCAGCAGGGATGTGATCACAATGTATCACAGTAGCAATAGTTCTTTGCCTTAACATGCCAATTAGGACTCAGTACTAAACAACAGGTAATATGAAATAACTTTGTACCAGAACAGGCACGAACACCCATGTGAACCTTTTCGTAGTTAAAATTCCTAAACTGAGGGATGAAGTTTCATGGGAGCATACAATATCACTTACATTCCAAACTTAAATTGGCGCTAATCAGGTCCGGACAAGTCCCACACAAGAACTTGACAGCCACCAGAGCACCGAAGCGATAGGAAATGAACGTCGCGCCTCACACTCAACCTACAATTAATGGAAAGGATGACCTAAGCGATATGAGTAGAAGGTGTAAAGAAATATGAGTTTGAAAAAGTAACATCGCGCCTGGAGGCTTTACAGTAACCACGCTTCTTGGTTAGTATGTGTTCTAAGTCTTCGAAATCGGGTGCTGACCATATTAGTTTTGACGGACTCACCTAAAGGCGCTTCGCCATGTATCCGCACCATATGACGAGTGGGAACGCCGTGCTCAACATCCCCTGCAATCGCTAGCCAGATGAGATTAGTTGTTGTTAAACTTCAAGTACCTGCGGCATCTTCAACAGCTTGGATCCGACTGTAAATTCTATAAGTGAGGTTAATTTCGATATTCCAAAATGCGTTATAATTTCTTAGTGTTGACCAGAACAATGTTACTGATTTACCTCCTTAAAAATTAACTCACGTAATAATTTATTCACCTGGCTAACCAAAACTTACTAGCCAGAGTGCATTGTTCCTACAACACACAAAGTCCAAAAACCATATCAGGTCGGGAAGTGGAGGCGGACATCAAAATAATGAATGACAACTTGAAACAACTGGAGAGGATTGATCAGGACAGATTTGTTTGGAGAATGTCAATGGGCGGCCTATGCTCCTCCACGAGGAGTAACAGGAGTAAGCCGTCATATGCGCCCTACTATACACATTCATAGGAGCGTCGAAATATATATGTAGGGACGTTGAAAAATTGTTGCTGAAAAAGGTTGCATCGTTTATCTGCTGAAGAAATTAACAAACGACTTGAATATGAACAAGCTCAAGTGAGGTAAATGTGTTATAACGGATACATATAGTATGGCGGACTAATTCGATTCGGATAGGATTATTTCAGTGAACCCACTTTAATCCGAGCTCTGAATACAACTTTTTCAGTTATCTTGAAGCGTCAAGACCATATTTTTGCGAAAATCACAAGTTATATAAGCTAAGTGCCACAATGTTTGTATCTGAACTATAAGACACGAATAAGTGCAGACACTTTCCACAAATGAAAGTCTGTCGGATGGCTGATAAATATGGTTATGCCACACATCTGGCAAAAGTATAGATTGGGGACGAACCGAAAACAACTGTAGCAAATTTTAAACCACTTCTTGTTCAATGAGAAAACAGCCTTTCCCAATGGATACTTTATGGGGAATAAAACAATGGGGATATAAAGTGTAAAACGTTCTTACATTACCGATGAACGTACTGGTCTTCCACTAGTCACTATAATAGTAAGTTGTAGAAACTAGCACAAAAATCGACATTATTACTCATTTTTCCTAACCCCTGAACGAATCCAAATAAGATTTTTGGGTTCATAGTTAGGGTCTTCTTCACGAGCTAGTATCACCTATAACCAAAAGTGCTCCATCAGGAAACTGAGAAAGTTGACTACAAAGGACCAAGAGGCGCTACCTGGCCAGTTCTCCAATGAAATAGTTCAGATCGGTCTGAGTAATAGGGGTTTCATCCTGAGGATAGGGTTGACTCCACTCTTATATGCATGCTATAATTGGGATTAAACATTTGACACGATAGTTTTTACTGTATGTCGACATAAAGCTATCTCCCGCAACCATTGTCAGCAATCTCAGCATCATACAAAATGACTCAACTACTCACAATATATTTCGATTTCGCGCCGAAAGCTTGGAATCCCCTTTTCCGTTTGGACAGTCTCAACACTATATTATAGGCACATACTCAAGATTATGCCTTCGTTGTTCTACTCTCGTGACACGAGACGTTAGTGGCAATTCGACTTAAATGAAACAAACTACGAGAAAACTAAGTATTGTTATACTCGTAAGGATGAAAATGATGGACAGTTTGGGATGGATCAGGATATAATTATTTTCGAACACATAACTACACCATACGTAGTCGTGGAAAATATTTTCAAATAATAAAAGGACGAGTCACAACACATATGACTGCTTGGTATGCTGTGTAGATCATTACTATTCCGTGAAGGTTTATGATAATATAATTCCGAGCACAACCCCGCTCCCTTCAAAGCGTGTGATCAGAACCAGGAATAACTGGCAGAATTTATTCAATAATAGCTCACTATACAGTACTAACAATCATCCCCTCGATAGAGATTAAATTGGGGAGGCAAGATCTGGGGCTCGAATGAGAAGCCTTTACCAGTGAAGTCCGACTATGTGAAGCGGTTATCCGCTAGACACTAGAACTTGTGCAATGTCACTAGACGACTGACATTAAGTCTGCAAACCACTTTATCCAGGATTGATAATTTAAAGGCTAAATATGAGCTATGAACTGAAGATTTTGGGTTTGGTTCACAGCAGGGTTGTTGAGAGGCATTGTTGTGGGGTCATAAGCGAGTAAAAACCCTCTAGTGCTGTCTTTCCGCGCTTACTTAAAAAGTTATCAATGGCGAAAAACAATTTATTTGAAAATATGTTAGTATTAAAAAACAATAAAGAAAATGGAGGCACAGAAAAGTAAGCTAAAATATTCCACATAAATGAATCATAATGTTATATACAGTTTATACGCATAAAAAGTTACTGATCATTTATTTCATCTGGAACTGAGACTAACTGATGCACATTAATCTAGAGGTGAAAAGTAGTGCGAAAATGATAAATTAGTAAAATATTTATTTGGTTGAAAATAACATAAAAACATATGGAAATATTATCATCTAAGTCCCTCGATTAATTCCTAATTATTAGTAATTGAATAATCGTTGGAGCTCTACGTTATGTTGAAGCGGAATCAACAACGACAAAACCTTCAGAAGTATCCCGCAGGAGATTACTGTGCCTATTTTTCTCTATTTGTCAGCTTTCACTTGATACATATATCGTTATTCTTCATTGTTACAGATTCATAGTTGTAGCATACATTGTAACTTTTTGTATGTGTTGCTATGTGGTTAGGTATTTAGGGAGTATTATTAAAGTTTCTACGTCATTGATAAATAGAAAGTAATAGTGAGATCTGCTTGATAAATCCGTGTTCTGATTAAACATTGGACTGGGAACTTGAAGACGAATAAGTCTTAATGTTAAGGTCGTTAATTAACGGTCACTAAGTGAATAATCTACCTCTATTATCTATCTTATGAAACTTGTGACGAAATAACGATACTGAGATAATGTAATCTTCTTCAAAGTACTTAATAAACTGTCCTTTATACCCAGTCAAGTAATTCAATATGCAGAAACTTCTAATTACAAAATCTGTAACTTTTTGTCATCTGCGAAACAAACCCATTTTAGATCACCTCTCTATATGAATTATTTTACCTGTGAATTTTTCAGATTCTGGGATAATCTACCACAATCTATCCATAAGATAAAATCACTCCCATCCTTTGTTTGATGCACTAATGCTTACTGCTCCTCTGAAAATGCATCAAATGTCCTAGTATCTGCAAGTGTATCTTATTCCACAAGTGAGATTATAAGAACCTTAAGTATTTAGCGATTTTTCGCACTGAATCAACTAAGTAAAACCTACCTGCTGTTACTTTACATTACCACAGACCCTGGCAACGCTAACTAATTTGAATAATATCTAACACGAATAGTAGATCAGAAAAAATCCTGACATATGTATTGTGGTAGACCTAACTAACCTATCGTAATAACTGATGCCACTTTTACCGTGCTCTATGCTTTATTTTCTTTCGTTATAGATGATCATAATAAATTCGTTATGGCGCAGGAAATGACTTTAGATACACCGCTCATATATCAACAGAATATCCACTTAAAAAGAATTAAAAGTTCTCGGTTTATGCCTTTGATTGTTGTAATACATGTGAAAAATGTACTACCTAAACAATTTTTGAACTAGTAAACTGAAAACAATCTTATATCACATTTTTGCTCTTTACATTTAATGTTACCGTTTATATTAAGCTTATCATGCATGTAAACTGGCATGAAGTCTGTAATTATTTTCAGAATATGTGTTATTATATTATGTATCTGTACAGAATCCACATATACCTACAAAGTGATCTAGATATCTAAACAAAGTTCGATGCATCAAAAACAAAATGATTAATTCATTTAGGGAAATGTGACTTTTAAACGATTTCACTTAATTGATAGATGGAAACGAACTGAGTAATATTGTCTTTGATTAAACTAACAGTGTGTTATACAAACAAACACTGAAACAATAAATAAAAATAATATATTTGTAATATCACAATGAGTAAAAAAATTAAGTTTTCTCTGAAGAAGTGGCTTACTATGAGTCACGAAATGTCAGAAAACTGAAAAACTCAATTTTTCTACTCAATGTGATACTACAAATATATTATTTTGATTTATAACAATCTATCCAATGTTCAATTTATTTGAAATTATCAAGTCGAAACTTGGTAATGACACTTACAAACGAAAACAATAACATTTTATGGAAGAAGCTTGATGTACATTAAAGAAAAGGAACATTTTTGAGGATATAGTGATGCTGTATAAATATTTACACACAAAAACCTATATTGATCAAGTGATCATAAACCCGAACAGATAAACAAGTCAACAAAAGATTTGTCTGAGTTATGGCAGTCCTTCTTTAAATATGTGTTTCTATACATTACAAATCCTAAGAAAGTATTTGTAATTGAATTAACCTCTACGTTTCTAACCAATAACAATCGTATACTTAAAGATATGTTAAATGAATTAATATACAGATTGACAGTTTCGAATTAATGATATATATATTTTTGGTGTATATAACTAAAAGAGTAAATATACCTGATCTGATACGACAATGTGGATAAGGTGCATCGTGCATAATAGATTTTAATGTGTATACAATATGTAGCAACGATGAACACTGAAAAGAAGATAAATATGCAAAATGATTATTTATATATCAAGAAGAAATCTCACATGAATTATTACTCACTATTAAAAATTCAGTTAGATTTCTAAAGTTTTAAAATGATGCTTGAATAGCAAGCATATATGAAATGCGCTTCTCTGCATCTAAATGTAAAATTTTACTTTAGGAATCGTCTGCGTCAATGCTTAAACTAATGATAGAGGATGAAACAGTTGAGTGTATCGACTATCTCATTTACCTCGGAAGTCTCACTAGATCTGGTGGGGTGGTGTCTGAAGAAATTTCAGTACCAATTTACCAAGTTTGGTTAGTCTTTACCAATTTACATCAGTCGTAGATTAAGCGAGATTTTCGTCTGGCAGCCCAATGATATGTATATTGCGCAGCAACCCGTCTTGTATTGCCTTATAGCTGTATAACATGGCCCTTAAAAACAGAAGACAAATGTAGGCTAGTACTACTTGCGTCTCATGAAACTATCAATTGAGCGAAGTTGAGGTTAGACATATGATACTTGGCATAGGTAGCAAATATGTTGATGAGGTTGTGAGGCTTTATAGACTGAAGCGGTTAGATGTGGTTCGTGTACATAACCACTTACCCTGACAAATACTCGCTGGTTTAGGCGTAGATTAAAAGAAGTTAATCACTACGTATTATAGAGCTATCTATTGCTTAAATACAAATATTTCAAGAAACTCAGGCAGTCTTATGAATTTAATCGACCTCAGATATGCTGTTCCGATGAATGTAATATACATTGCTTTTAACATTACAGATGTTAAGCAACTGACAGTAATCTACCATAATAAAATGAATTTAAGCTACTGTGATTAAATATTGCCCTTATTCTTTTCAAGTCAAGAAAAGGAAACAAGTGTGCAAAAGGAATAAATGACCGCAATGAAAATAAATAATAGACTTAGATAATGAGGACTTTCAGTTTACAAATACTTGTTCCCACGTAGTTCTATACATTTTTAAATTAAATAATATTAACATGATACTAAGTTTTTTCCTGCAAAAGTTTAGTCATAAACCAATATTATTGATGACAATTTTATGATAAACTCATTAGTTAGTTAAATGAAAGTAAATTCAGGATGTTAGAGCTAATCTATAGGCTATTTGCGTCCAGAGGATACAGGAAGAAATATTAATTTACAATATATCTCTCATATTTCCCGTGAAACTGTATTTGACAAAAAATAAATAATGTAATAAGAAAACAATTTAGAAATAACGTAAGAAAATATTCATAGACAGTAAACAGAAATTTTGGTGATAAATAATTCAGTAGAACTAGACTGAATAGCTTTACCTGATCTCTATATTTTTCAACTTCCTCTATAAATTTTGAACCAATACAACCGTAAATTTCAATAAGCATACATTGAATAACTTTTACAGTTTCCTGTAAAATTTCCATACGAATAGATTGATGATTTTTAATTTTTACCGATTTTGTTACACCAGACGAATCAGGAAGAAATGGTTCCAAAAAAGGGAGGATTAAACCCCAATCAATTTTATTTACTGAAATTATTAAAATAAGAACAATATGGAAAAGTGTGTAATTCTATTATTACTTTGATGTTAGATGATACCTGGAAGTATTCGATAAAAAAATCCTGCTTAACCTAGGTCTAATGCTAGTTGAAACTCGTTATCAAGGTGTACCTAAGATCGTGAGAGGATAGAAACTCTCAGGAGGATTCGAAACTGATTCGTCCAGTTTCACAGTTGATGTTACCACTGGACAATTTAAAAAACGACTGAGCTCCTGTAGGACCGATATAGTTACACTACCCAGACCCAGGATTTCCATCGACTAACCTTGAAACGTAGAACATGCGATGTTGAATCACAGACTAACAGATACATTGAAATTTGATTGATAGAATATCAGGACTAGGGACTAGGCAAACATGACATTGATCACTACTCAGTAAATAGTCGGTGTATTCTAGTACATTGAATTTTAAAGTTTTGTGAAGATTTTGATGGTTATTTTTATTACGAATCGACATATCAGATGAAAAAACTATGGAACACTGGACAGGCATATTTCGTTCTTTTTTGTTAACAACGTACAACCACGACCGAACCACATGGATTCAGATGTAGCCAATTTCATAAATCATAATAGCACTAAACTATTACCGCTAATCAAAAGACAATTTACTTGTGAAAATCTACACATAAATGGACTAAAACTCAGATTGTAAAGGAACAGGGATATAGCTGACAAATCAGCCAGAACTTATTTATATCTTTTCAGAACATTTTGAATACAAATATATCTTGTAGTTGATAAGTTGGTTAATTCATTTGTAAAGGTTTAGCAAATCAGGCAAGATATGTGGTTTTTACAGGATGGTAGATAATATCCTGTTTGCAACAAATGTAGAGTTCAAGCTCACTAATCCTGGTTAAAATCAAGACCTGAACAATAATAAGTATTAATTCAAAGAGGTTTTGCAAATGATTTTGGTCAATGACAAAATCATTTTAGGATTAAGAGTGGATAAAATAGGTCGTGTATACAGAAACTTATTTATATCAGACAATTATTACGAATCAAATAAGCAACAACAAATGATTAAGTTACTTACTATAATTTCTAATTTCGGAACTTCGACAAGAAAGTTGAGCAAGTGAAAGATATGCAACTTTGGCGAAAGAAATCGACTTCATATCTAAAGAGAAAGGTTCATCCAAACTGTGTATAGGATCAGAGGGATGACTATCCTGACCTTCAGGTTTGATCCGATGGCATAATATATCACAACCAAAACAACAAATATGAACCAGACGTAAAAGAACACTGACAGAAAAAAAAGAAATTATGAAAGTAATATAAAACTCATTTGTTTTTGTATAATTCATATCACAAAAAAAGTTTTATAATTAGATTATATGAATGTGTTAGAAAATAGACAGATTACTTTTAAATAGTGATAGAACAAAGGAAATCGTAGACAATACACTTTTACAATGAATAGTTTACTAGGCTTGAGTTTTGTCAGATAAGCACTTTTCAACAATAACTCAAACAATTTAAGAGACAACTTATCGAATTTCATTAATCAAAAGTATAAGTTTGACTCAAAAGCATTTGACAGTTTAAACTCAGGTTGATATAATAGTTGGCAGCAGACAAAGATGATTTACGTCAGTCTAGATGAAAAACGTAAAAAAATTATCTTGCAAAAAAAAAAAAAACTAACCTCAATCCAATAGAAGGGTCAACAGCAGTATAAATATATCGAACTAATATCATTACGGTTATAATACGAGGATTCGTTAACAATGAAGGAGTGTTACGATTTAGTTGTAATCGTTCAGCAAGTTGTATTAGACCACCCAATAAATATTTTAAATTGTCAGCCTTAACCTCACGAAATAAGAAAGGCCGTGTAAAAATCTAATCAATGAAAGTAATTAAATAAAAGTTAACGATTAAAAAAGATGAAAATTTTGAAAGCGAATATCACCTAACAGTTCAAAAAAGTAACAAAAAAGAGATAATTTTTTTGAGGGAAGAAGCTTAAAAAGCCAATGCTTTCTATCTTAGATAAACTGATTTGTAGATTTATACTAAACAGTTCTTACTCGCTTAATAGCCGATATATTTCTTATCCGACCATATTGAACCGGTCATTTTTGTGTTTGCCTATATCGAGAATTGGCTGTTGTTTTAAAGTTCATCAAGTTAAACGTGAGCTTTAGCAAATCATAATTTATTATAGAACCATTTACTAAACGTGTATACATATATAAATATTTTTAGCAAGTCAAGATAGTTTGTCGACTTTATGTGACCGTGGGTATGCTATCTCGGTTAATCTAACATGATGTTTATTATTAAGCTGCACGATACCAAGACTCAACCATGCAAATGAATTGTGAAGTTATAAAATAATGGTTGAGCAAAAACTATGTAAATTATCGACAAGCGTTTCATTATAGCAACTACATTTTAGGGTAATTTCATAACAAATATTTATGATGAAAGTGAAATGTAATAACGATAAAGTATACAAATGGTATACAAGAGAAATAAATTTCCAAAAATAACTCACACATATTAATACATCGCCTAGACATTGCATAAAAATCGCTTGACCTGCGTTAGATTCACTTTTGTACAAACGATTACAAAGTAACGTCAACTGAGTAATAATCTGAGGCATAAAAGGTGGAAGCAGATCACATGTTCGAGGATCTAAATTTGCATGAAAGAAATAAAAAAAAATCACTTTCAAAGAATGCAAACTATAGTTGTACTAAACTAGTTACTACACAATTTTAGTATAACTTCGCAACTAGAGGAGAGATACATGTACTCATTCAACTTAAAACCAAACTTTTCAAGAACTTCAGTACTAAATTTTTGAATCCTAAGTGAATGAATAACTAGGGACAATTCTCATCAAGTACGACTGAACTGCGTTAATGGGACAAAAATGTTAATCATATATAAATAATCTAAACCAACGTTAAAATAAAGATTAATTGTATTAACCCATTGTCCATCTAGATATATGATTTATGAAGTTCAGTAAATTAATCTAATGAAAACAATGAGTATTCTACAGTTCAATTTCGCTGGACAAGAAAAAGGATATATAGCTAACTAGGTATCCGTAGTAAAATGGTTTAAATGAACGAATTAATGAGAATGACAAACTTTGGAAGAGAGTTTTAATGTCGGTATTTACAACTTAAATGTGTATTTATGAGATTCGTGTTTTTGCATAATTGTAAGTCTCCAATTAACTGGTTAAAAAACTGCACTTCAGACTTTGTAAAGTTAAATGTCCTAATTAGACATATATTTCAATTTCTTATCTACGACGCGTCACGGTCTTGTAATTCATGCAATATAACCTTGTGAGTTCTTGAGTCAGATGAACAAAAGTCACATAGGATGTTTTGTTGGGGAGATCCAAGGTACTTGAAAGAGTTAAGAGGGGCTCTGGAAACGCTGGGAAACAGTCAGCGTTGGATAGGAGCGTCTCATAAACACCTGCAAATAGAGTCATACGTCACATTTCTGACTGGATGATTACTTATCCTGTTACTATGTTTAGTATGGTTCGAGAAACTTTCAGAAGCCTAAAACCATCTGAAATACTATAAATACCCCCAATTTTCTATACATAAACTAAACTTGGAGTAAAGCGTTCTTTTCACAATTCGTGCCTTTTCTCTCGTACTCAATTTGTCGTGTAGATTTAGTCTGAGGTTATTATAAGAGCTTAGGAAATTGATTCAAGCGTCCAGTTGGAAGACTTATCAGTTTTATTGACGTGTTTCAATGATGTTTGGAGACAAGGACTCTGGGTGTGTTAATAAGTGTTAGCATATCAAGTCACTTTGTCCGGTCATCTATATTATTAATATAAGCATAGCGATTCAAGGTCATATCAAAACCCAATAGTTCGATTGCTACATTTATATCAACCTAATCAAAACCGTCATTGTATATGACCAAAAATGAAATAATAGTCAGTGCCATACTAGGAAGAAACGACCGCTCAGTGTTTCCAGGTTTTGAATGATGATTTGACTAAGATAGGTTCATGATTTCAGTGAAATAAAATAATATCAAGACAAGAGTAAACAGAATATAAAATAAAATTTGCCTTGAATTAATACTTCTAAGTCGATAAGAGCTCCATGGACGATGTTATTGAAACCTGATCGGTCATCTTCATTTTCATCAGTGTAGACCTGGTGGAAGTTTTCAGTTGACGGTGCACGATTCTCATCTTGGACTTCATCATCAGATACAAATCCTCCTAACTGATCAACTAAACAAGATAAAGCTGCGGTAAGTTGACTTGAAGCTGCTATTCTGTCTGATTCACTTAAAGATGGATTATCACGTGCAGTAATTAATGGTAATAAAAGAGAAGGGGCAGCTGGAGACAAGTGGAGAGGTGGTGGGCTTTTAGGTCGTTTAGTACTAAAACATACATTTAAGATGATAATGACAATAATAATAACAAACCAAATATACAATTAGCAAACAATGATTGTGTTATTAAAAGAGAGTAAGAAATAACAGCGAAAAATAATGAGTTAGCAAATAAAATTTATTCATAAATCCTTAGTTGATTTTGATTGCAAGTAAATATTGACCACATAATGATAAAAAAATCCTAAGTGAAAACGATATAGTTTATCATTAAAGTTTAGTACACCGGTTACACGTTAGGAAATACATCCGTAAAATAGTACGAAGTTTAAAACTGAGTTTTCTTCTTTTACTTTTATTTTATTCTTCTTTTATTATCAAAAGATACGAAAGAAATCAAAAGATGTATAAATCATACAAACTCCTTAGTTTACTGAATGCTATCTGTTACTAATGAATTCGTACAGAAACCGACTATGTGGTTGGGTGCGGTTTATATATATCTTTAAAAATAACCTTATTTCAATCTAAATCGTACTTTAATATTAAAATTAACTGATTGCCTATGCAATTATTGACCAAATTCTTTTGTTATCCACAATGTACATGTCGTAAATTATGAGAATTTCATATCCAAAAGTTAATATCTATCTGTATTTCCGATATAATTCTAGAAATTTCTGACAAAAGTTCATAGATCATTTAGTTAACACCTAAGCCTGATAGATGAAATGACTTCAACTCAAAATTGCGTATAAAATAATGTAGGTAAGTACAGTTAATTGGATTCAAAACTAAAAATTCAATGAATCACCAATAAAGCACTTCTTTATTTCTTGAAAATACATTGTATCGCTATTGCTTAAATTGATAGAAATCTTATACTTAGAATGTTTAGTAGTGGTCCGTAAGAAGCCATAAAATTATTACTAGCCAATGACATATGCTTCTATTTATTTATTTGAATATAATTCGAAATTGAGGAGTGACTATATCACACTGATCACTGAACAGTTGTCAATGTCATGTTTGTCTAGTCCCTAGTACTGATTGAATTCTACTGATCAAGTCGCGACAAATCTAGGTAAAGGGTATCCTAGTGAACACTTTTGAACAAACACGTAACACTAGTGATTCTATCAATTAATTAAAAAAAATATTTCATATCCTTTTTTAAAATAACTATTTGAGTTATGAGTTTTGAACTTATACTATAGTCTGACAGACTAAATGCATAATTTGTGTGCGTTGGTATACTTAAGAGATTTGATGAGTATATAAACAAGTTGTGATTATTCTTCTTGAACTTCGGTTAGTTAGATGTTCAGAAAAACAAACAAGTGAAAAAGTAAACATGCACAGTTTACTATTAGATGGATAACACAGGTTGTCTACCATCGTAACTGTAAGATAATTATGAAAATTAATACAAACTAAACTAAAAATAATTGTACTATAATAGTAGACAGAACCAAAAGAATGTATATTAAGAAACCTCAGTTAATTAAAATAGCCAATTGAGTCATTGAATAAAAGTAAGGAGGAATTTTCTTTATTTTGATTTAAAGTTCAATTAGCATCCATGGAAAACTTACCGACTATACTCTCCTGTATAAGGTGCAGTTATTACTGAAGTATCTCTTGTTATAAAAAATTCAAATGGTGTTTTCATTGAAAGTTCATCAAAGTTATTCGAGACAGTCAAAGTTGGATCAGTATTAGATGATGACAGATATTGTTCAAGTAATTTTTTATCATTTTCTGGAAGCTAAAAAAAATTTAGCATAACAGCATATGGTGTAGTTATTGATAAATGAATTAGAAGATAGCTCAAAACGATTACCTCATTGTCATGTTCTTCATGGCAGGACGTGTTGAGTAAAAATTAAAAATGATCAGGAAACTAATAGTATTAGTATATGGAATAATTAAAAAAAATCAGTCGGTTAATTAGGTATTAATAAATAGTGATTTAAGATTGTAAAATAAAATCCATATACTTCAATTAAAGAATATTTTCTCGTTCATATTACTTCTTTAGTACACCTTTCTAGTTCAGACACTGTAACAAAATCTTTCGATAAACCGAGTCCATCGAATGTTGCGTCTACATCAAGAACTATAACTGTATACGAGCACTGGTAGGTATGCCTGATGAAGAACAAACGCTTGATAGATACATTCATATCCAAGTCTGAAACCACCAATAAATTTATTCAACACTGCAACCTGGTCACAGGATGAAAGCACTGTTGATACTGAGTGTCACGCAGGTTGCTTACACACCCACTGAGTAGGATCTCTAGTGAGTAACCCAGTAAGCTAGTTTGAGTCCCATAAAAATATAGAAACGACGAATAGCACATGTCGATACTAGCCAATAATCAGATAAATGTTCAAGTACTATTTTATTTACCAGTTGCATGAAGACTGGTGATAATACCTAGCTGCTCAAAAATAGGTGTAGATGAAGAAGATTCACGCTCGTGACCCAAGATGTAGCAGTCGCATAATTTCGTACATTAGAACATACCAATACCTATCATTATATTCTAACATGTGAACTGTAAGTAAACCAATACAAGTTGCATTCCAAGATGATGAAATTTAGATGGTATACACAAAAATCATTACCGACAAATACACACCAAAAGTTTTACAGAACTTACATTTCCAATATGCTGCCAAAATAAGGATCCTAAAAACTTATAGGCTACACATAAACAATTCAATGCAGATTTCTTCACTCCAGAATCAGAGTCAGCAAGTTGCTGGGCAATTAGTTTTAGATGAAGTTCTGAAGTAAATCCTTTTAGGTCACCGGAACGCGGTATAAGACTAAGTAATTCATCAAGGCAAACTGAAAGAAAAGTAATACAAACGATCTAATAAAATATAATCAGAATAAATTATAGAAAAATTCGATAAGTAACTAAAATTAAAACAAAATAATACCATATTAACCACTCCATAAATATTATGATGGTAAAATATAATAAACCATTATAAGTACAGTTATGTAATTCGAGAGACGATCAATAATCCACAGAAAATGTTACCATCCAGAAGTGGACCAGAAACTAATTCAAGTTATCTTATAGCTAAGAACCACAAAAAAGAGTAGGTTATTGAAACAGGAACAAATCTCACTAAATTGATTAGGTAGTTTAAGATAGTCTATGAATCCGGTGTCCATCTTGTTGTGTTAATGAGGTATGGCAACTTGGACCGATGCATATATGTGCCCGGTCCTACGTTGTAGCTAACTGACTGACTGAGTTTACTTACTTACTTACGCCTGTTACTCCCAATGGAGCATAGGCCGCTGACCAGCATTCTCCAACCCACTCTGTCCTGGGCCTTCTTTTCTAGTTCCATCCAATTCTTGTTCATTTTTCTCATGTCTATCTCCACTTCCCGGCGTAATGTGTTCTTTGGTCTTCCTCTTTTCCTTTCGCCTTGAGGATTCCATGTGAGGACTTGTCTTGTGACGCAGTTGGGTGCTTTCCTCAATGTGTGTCCTATCCACTTCCAGCGCTTCTTCCTGATTTCTTCCTCCGCTGGGATCTGGTTTGTTCTCTCCCACAGTACGTTGTTGCTAATAGTGTCCGGCCAATGGATCCGAAGTATTTTGCGTAGACAACTGTTAATAAACACCTGTATTTTCTGGATGATGGCTTTCGTAGTTCTCCAGGTTTCTGCCCCATACAGTAGAACTGTCTTGACATTTGTATTGAAAATCCTGACCTTGGTGTTGGTTGACAGTTGCTTTGAGTTCCAGAAGTTCCTCAGTTGTAAATATGTTGCTCTTGCTTTGTCGATTGAGTTTAAGATAGGCTTAAATTACGATATATATGGATAATGAAACGTCTAACTAAAACTGATAAAGATAACACTATTACTAATCAATTATTAGTCCCTCCATTGAATGAGATTAACATGAGAAGACAAGTGATTAAAAAATAAAACTGAGAAATAAACACACAACTTCAAAACAATGATTCGAAAAATTACTTATTTGAAATCCCGACCGTTGTTGCTACCTTGACGTGGTGGTCGGGCTTGCCTATCGTGATGAAGCAACCGAGCTATACTGGCTGGAACAACCGTTCCTCAAGGTCCTACCATGTCAGACAGGTCGGTTGAAGAGCGGTAAGACTAAAAGCAACAAACCCAAGGTCCGAAGGCGAAGTCATACTGCTGACTGTACAGAGGTGTGACAGCAGTAAGGTGTTTCCTTCAGACAACCAACATGACAGCGATGCTGCCTCCCCACAAGGGGAGGGTCGGGTTAGAAAAGGCCGACCCTAAAAATGCACACCTCGCCTTATCCCACGGATATCCGTCTCCAACGGTAAGGTCTCAACAAGTACGGAGCTAACACAAAAATTACCCATAAAAAAGTCGTGTGTGACCAACCTCAAGCAGATGTCCCTTGGGCACTGCGGTCACGCTCTCAGGTCACTAAGACCACCTCTAATCCAATTTCCTTTTCAGGTACCTCCAGAACAACCCTTCTTCGGTGTGGGCAACCGGGAAATGATAACCGCCCTCATACCTCTAACAGCACTCAAGACCACTTTATTCCTATTCAACCTCCGTCTTCACTTCCTATTACTCCTCCTACATCGACTTTCACCTCTAAATTTCCTTTTTCGGCTTCCTCCTCAAATGTCATCATAGCCAACGATTTTAGTGCGCAAAACACCGTACCAGGTCTACTGAAACTTCGCTCCAAACTACACATTGGAGCCTTCAACGTACGAACCCTATATCAAATCGATCAACAGGCTTCCTTGGCTGGAACCCTAGAATCTCGTACCATTGATGTGTGCTGTGTCTCTGAAAGACGCATACAGGATCCTAGTGTGGTCATTCACTTGATACCACATCGGCGAAACGGAGAGCCAACGAGATACACCCTCCGTGTATCTGGTGACCTGACGGCCAGCTCTCGTGGACTGGCAGGTGTAGGCATAGCACTAAGCATGAGGGCGGAACAAGCACTGTTAGAGTGGATCCCCGTTAACAGTCGTTTAAGTGCTGTTCGGCTGAACGGCTCCGTAAGAACTCAGAAGGATAGGGACACACGTCGTTGCCTTTTTGTCGTTTCTGCCTACGCTCCCACCGATTGCAGCTCAGATGAAGTGAAAGATGAATTTTACAGAAAGCTATCTGAACTTCTTCAGAAAGCTAAACATTCAGACATAGTACTCGTAGCAGGTGACTTTAATGCCCAGATAGGTAGTTTAAACCAAACAGAAAGGCATTTAGGTGGGTATTTTTGTATTCTGGCACAACGAACAGATAATGGTGACCATCTGCTGCAAGTGTGCTCAGACAATCGTTTATTTTTAGCAAACACAAATTTTAAGCATAAGGAGAGACATCGTCTAACATGGCGACCCCCTACACCAAACCAACGATGGACTCAAATAGACCATATTGCCATCAGTCATCGTTGGAGAAGGTCGGTACAAGATTGTCGCTCATTCTGGAGTACCTGCTTGGATTCCGATCACGCCCTAATACGGGCACGCATCTGCTTGCGCCTCACTGGACGCAAAAAAAGCCACAGTAAAAAGACTCGTTAGAATTGAATTGAATAGCGAGAAAACCAAAAGTAGGTTCCAGGAACAACAGAGATCACAATTAGGTAGTTCTGAAAACGAGGTTGACCCAGATGTTGCTTGGAAAGCTATACAAACAGCTGTGGAAACAGCAATGAAATCTATTAGCGACTTAAACCACCGAGTTACAAAGAACCAGTGGATTTCTTCAAAGTCTATCACACTGATGGATTCTCGCAAACTCATCCCATCAGGTTCTGAACATGATGAAGAGAGCAAACAAATCAGATCTAGGTTAAGAAAAAGTCTAAGAAACGACCGTGAGCAGTGGTGGGCAACGAAAGCAAAAGAGATGGAAAAGGCGGCGGCTATAGGGAACAAAAGACAGCTCTACAGACTAATAAAAGAAACTGGAATTAAAAAGTCAAGTGTAAGTGAGATGATTTCGGAAAAAGACGACACCCTCATCTGCTCTCAGTCCAGACGTTTAGAACGATGGGCGGAACAGTTCAGCTGGCCTTCAGCTACTCTACAAATACCCTCCATTCGCAGACAGTGTGAATGGAACATTGAAGTAGGTCCCCCAACTCCAGCAGAAGTTCAAAAGGCTATAGCTAATCTGAAACGAGGAAGGGCAGCTGGTCCAGATGGGTTGGCTCCAGAGGTCTTTAAGGATGGTAGTCCAATTTTAGCGGTTAGGTTGACTAATATTTTAGCTAAGATCTGGGAGTTAGACGTTATTCCATCTGACTGGTCACAATCACTTATCGTCCCAATATATAAGAGAGGGTTAAAATCATCCTGTGACAACCATAGAGGGATTAATTTAACTACTATAGTATCTAAAATACTAGCCTCGATAATTATCAGACGCCTAAATAAGACTCATGAACTGCAAACACGAGAGAATCAAGCTGGCTTCAGACCTGGTTGTGGCTCCATCGATCACATATTCACCATTCGTCAGGTTCTAGAACATAGGCATCAGTGTCCGACAATGGTGGTCTTTCTTGACTTGAAAGCAGCATATGACTCGGTAGACCGCGAGATTCTGTGGCAGTGTCTGTCATTGAAAGGCGTACCTCAGAAGTAAATAAACCTTGTGAAGGCTCTTTACTCGAACACTACTAGTCGAGTCAGGGCTTATGGCGAACTGTCATCTACTTTTGCAACCTCAAGTGGTGTCCGTCAAGGCTGTCCACTTTCTCCATTTTTGTTTAACTTCATCATAGACCTATTGCTGAAAATAACATTCTCGTCGACTGAATTCTCGGGTATTGATCTCCTTCCAGGAGGTCCACTTATCGACTTAGAATACGCAGATGACATAGTCCTGTTTGATGGAGACACTGATAAAATGCAGTCTTTTGGTAGCACTAAGCAGCAATGCCAGAATTTTTGGGATGTGCTTCTCTCCCTCGAAATGCAAGTTATTGCTTCAGGACTGGGCTGCGTCAACTCCTGAACTAAAGATAGGGATTGAAGTAGTTGAACGCGTTGACAACTTCACTTATCTTGGAAGTCTGATCAACCCTAATAGGTTGGTGTCTGACGAAGCCTCTGCACGGGTTCAGAAAGCTCGTTCGGCTTTCGCCAACTTATGTCACCTATGGCGAAGGCGAGATATCCGTCTATCAATAAAAGGACGAGTATACTGCGCGGCAGTCCGTTCTGTTTTAATTTATGGCAGCGAAACATGGCCATTAAGAATAGAAGATACTCGTAAGCTACTAGTATTCGACCACAGATGCCTTAGAAATATTGCTGGCATCTGCTGGGATCACCGGGTAAGTAATAGTGAGGTTAGACGCAGGGTATTAGGGAATGATGGTAAATCAGTTGATGGGGTTGTGAATATTCATCGATTGAGATGATTGGGCCACGTGTTACGCATGCCCGAACACCGATTACCACGACGTGCAATGCTAACCGGTGTTGGAGATGGTTGGAAGAAAGTTAGGGGCGGCCAAACCAAGACGTGGCATCGGTGTTTGAAGTCATTAACTTCTAGTTTGAGCCATGTTGGTAGATGCAGACTACTTGGTTGGGGTCCGCGTGACTGCCGTAACCAATGGTTGGAGACTCTTGGTGAAATGGCTCAGAATCGATCACAATGGCGTCGGTGTATACACTCTGTTTTCCCTTAAAGTAAGAGATTAAAATCGCTTTATATCTTTCTTTCTACGAACTAATTCTTTCTTCCTGTACTGTATCCTTATTGCGATCTCTCTTTTATATATTGACACCTCTGAATTAGCTATTTTTATGAATCCGGTATCCATCTTGTTGTGTTAATGAGGTATGGCAACTTGGACCGATGCATATATGTGCCTGGTCCTACGTTGTAGCTGACTGACTTATTTGAAATGTGTCCTTAATTTTGATTTTAATTCGTTTTCTTTATTAAAGAATGTACACTAGACCAGTCATATTGGAGATTATCATACACTGATTAGAAAATAGTTCTCAAGGTTACTCATACTAGTTAGAGTAAACCAGGTCTTAGAAGGGATAAGTCAACGGTTACACCATAGAACACGAATAAATTTGGTAGTGGTCAGTATCTACTAAGATAATAAGAGTTTTGTGGACAGAGAGGTTAGTATAAAATAGATAAACAAAAGGTTTAAAATAAGAATTAAGTGAACATCAACGCGAAATACTTAAACGTGTTCTGTACTATATCCTTACATAAAATCCTTCTTTTATATATTAAACCATTGAGTTAACTGCTTCTATGAATCCGGTGTTCGTCTTGCTGATGAGGTGTGGTAACTTGGACCGATGCATATACGTGTCTGGTCTGACTTCAAAAGTGTTGGGGTGATCCAGGAAACTTCCCGCAAAAGACAGGAAAGGATCAGGGAAACATTAAAAAGCATTTTATTTAATCAGCAATCACTTGAAGTTTAGCCAGAAACATCAAGAAAGTGAAAAGTCACATGTAGGGTTTCTGATTGCCTGATTACTATACTGCTGCTATGTTTAGTAGCATTCCAGAATTTTCGGGAAACCCAAGGACATCTAAAGTACTATAAAAACCCTGTAGTTTCTGTACAAAAACGAACCTTTGGAATAAAGTGCTTCTCGCATATCTTGCTCCTTTTCTCTCATGTTCAGCTCGCTGTGTAGTTCTAGCTTGGGGGTTACGAGAATAGCTTAGGAACCGAACATAGCGTTCAAGTAGCAAGACTTATTAAAAGAAACATATTATTACACAGTTTTATACTATTTTAGAATACGATGGATAGGTATAATAGTCACCGAAAGAGACAAAACAAAACAAAAAAGACATAACTTACTCTGACGCATTTTTGCAGTACTACAGTGATGCATATATTTAACAAGCATGTCCATCAATAAACTAGGAGGATAAACTTGACGTATAAGATGTATTGAATCAGATGCAGCACGATAAATAACTGAATCTTTATGTACAGTTAATGATTGAAGTTGACAATTTAATAATGGGATAAGAATAATATTTACTTCTTGTTCACTTAACCTCAAATCATTTTGAGCAAATAACGAAATTACAGCAGTTAAATAATCGAAGGCTACATGATACATACAAAGAAAATTCATGATGATGAGTATTCTTTAGAATATGCTAGTCAGTAAATAAATTTTAAAATCACACTATCTGTAATATTACGAATATGTAAAAGAATACATTCTTGTAACGCTTTAATCTAAAATGATTACGCAGTGAATGAATGTCTTGACATTTTAATTCACAAATTATGTCTGCTAGCCGAGAGTGCTTACGTAGTTTCACAATGGTATTTCTTATATTTACCTCACAGTCCCATTGAGAAACGAGAAACGATTAATTTAGAATTCATACGTTAAATATCTTAGGCAATAATATAATTGGAACAAGACTGATTGTAAGAATTTACGAATGAATATGAGTGGATTTTGATCAATACCTAAAAGAATTCCTATGCATATTCCTTGAACATTTACAAGTCGGATGCTTATAAAACGGGAATTTGGTAGCAATACTGAATATTTTCGTGCTCAGCATTCCTTACTGTATTCAAACATATGGTATTGAAAAAAGAAAGTACTATTATTATTATCATGAAAGTTCACGGATTACTTTTAAAATTATTTATCGAGAAAATGATAACAGTCCAAACCACTACGATTGATACGAATCCGATACTTATTAGTAAGAATCCAAAAAGAATTAATTCTCAAAATTATAATGACAAACTGTAATCTTTAGAATGAGTCAATCAAATAGGGAAAGAGCATAGATTCTCATGGATGACATCCTTCTGTAAAGCGAAACACTTCAAGTTAGAAAAGTCATAATAAAGGTCTAATGAATTAGCTTAGTTTTTCGATGTCTGCCTTGAAAGCACAAGATTAAGATATTAGTTGAAAATACATTAAGTGCGTACACCATGTAACAAATTCCAAATTGTGATTTTGTTGCTACGGCTTTCGAGAAACACGATGGGACCTACAGAGGCCTTAAAGGAGCCGAAGCGTTTCCGCCTAATCAGAACCTGATGGAGCTTTCTAGAATATTGACGTGGCATGCTATGATTGAACGGTAGCATAGCTTGCCTCCTTGTGGATTGGCTGAACCATAATGATGTTATAACCAACGCTAATAACTATAAATACACATGTTTTTCTGTACATTTTTGATTCTTACCCAACAATCACTTCTCCTGTTTTCTTCTGTCTTCTGATTTGTGACTGTGGGGTTCTACACTTTCAAGTATCGCTAGTTATATATCATATTCTGCGTTAATCAAGTAGAGTACGTAATAGATCTGATAACTATTTAGTTTTAAATAGTTCACGGAGTGGTTGATTATACTTTCCGGTGGCAAAGATCCTCCTTAGCATATAATTAAAGTAGATCACATAAGACGGGAAATTCTTCAGAGAATAGTTAAAAATATCAACAAATAAGCGTAAACATTCAATGTTATAAACCATTTAAATAAATATCTAGCGAAGAGATAGCAGAAATATCCATAGTATGAAAATCAAATATATAAAACTGACTCACCACGAGCTAAAACAGCTTTACAATTATGATATTCAGATTGTTCAAAATCACCTTTCAACCAATATCCAAAACAATATTCTTCAATCCACATTAAAATTAAATCGAAATGAGCATATGTGATGATTAAAGGTGATGGCATTGCACTGGTATCTTTTCTATGTAATGAAGAAATCATTCTATCAAGTGCTTCCAGACGACCTTCATATGACGTGGAGAATAACTGTTTCTTTAGATTAGGATGAATATGTGATTCATCAAATAGATATTGCAACTTATCTTTATTGATATCTTGGTGCTAACGAGACAAACAAAAATAAATTTTTACAAGATGAAAATATACTCATAATAGCTACAAAATACTCAGTCCAATATTTTTTTGCTAAACTGAATTCAACAAAATGAAGTTGATCAACAAATGCATTGAACTTAGATGGTAACCCAAGTCAGTGTAAACCATTTAGCGTCTACAGAATGTAGGCTGTCGAGCGATGGTTAGGACACTATGATTGTTAACGAAGTCATATTTTCTCCACACATAACTAAAATATTCCCATAGTATGAAAGTCATAGGCGTATCGTAAAATTTCGAACCATGCAAATTTCAAAATAATAACACTACCATTTGTATTTTTATAATGCTCTTAATACCGTCCATAAATTACAGTTAATTAATTATATACTTGTCATTCAGTTTTGTACAAATGACCCAGTTATTGACAGATAATGATTTCCTATTAATAGTGCGTTTTAGTCTTGTAAATGATATATATCATCATGTATTTTTGAGTCATGATAAAAGGAGTTAAATCAGCTTATTTGCTTTCTTGTGTCTTGATTGGGTAAACTGGAAGCACAAAGAAACTGTGTGGGTCAATCGGTATCAGCATACTAAGTGAGTACTAGTATTGTTGGCCACAGCCGACTCATCACTAATGGATTCAATAAATTAGTGATCTTCTTAGGTTGAATTTACAACAAAATTGAACTATATTATCTGTACAAAAACATCTAATCACTAAACATAACGAATTTCCCTACTAACGAAAAATTCAGTAAATATACTAAACTGACCTTTTTCAAATTTTCCAAGCGTATTTCTTTAGTTTGTAACAAACCTGTTTCATCGTTAGACTCAACAAAGAAAATAGTATCAGAAGTATCGGAATTAGTCATATAAGTTGTTTTACTGGCAATATTACAATGCACGTTTTCTAATTGCATAGGCTGTCTTGTTACCGCTTCAATGAAACCTTTCCTGAATAAAGAAAATTAAAAAACAAATGGGACCACAAATGATCACTTTTGATTGTGTCGGAAATTTTCTACACGTAATAAGCTCTTCAGTAATCCCTAAAAATAAAGCACAGATTAAGTTGAGAGTATCTACAAACAAATAACGATACCATACATCATTGTAAAGGATTCATAATCGTTTTTAATAGTTTGAAAACAATAATTAATGGGTTTTCCTACACTGTAAATGTATGTGATATTTTTGAGAATCTTTCCGTTAGATAGAAGTTGAAATTATCCTGATAAATGAATTTAATGGAAACTGTATCAACATTCATATAGGGAAAACGAAATAACAACATGAATGCCCAGGCATAAAAACAACAGCGATCATAGTTGAAATAACCTAACATCTCTGTGTAATTCATTCAGTAGATTTGTTAGCTTACTAAGTTGAAGTCCAGCTCCCTAAATAACTATTCATACCTTTACATCAGGCATATCTAATCGTACGTCCCGAACAGTTTCTTCGTTTGCGGTTCTCAATTTTACCGTACGAACTTGTCCGTCAGAGTCATAGCTTACTTGTTCGACAATAGCTTTGGGCCATAGATTTCTCGGTGAGCCAATATTGTCTCCCGAAGACTCATCCATCAATACCTTCTGAAACAATAGTGATCGCAGAATTCTTCTTATCGACTTTATGATGCGATCCTATACACTGCCTCGTTGACTAGCCCTCGGAAGTTTAAAGTGCCATTCACAACCTCTCTCTAAACGGGCATTTACTGGTTCTGGTTCCAACTACACATGATCTGTCTAAGAATAGCATTGGCTCCTACAAAACTATCAGATGCACCCTTACTCCTGTTCACAACTCGTACAAGGGCGCCTTTCTCAACACCATCCTCGATACCACGGCGAATATGTGCTACCTGCTTCTTCATTACAGTGGCCTTCGACCTTTTCGTAGTCTTGACTTTCGGTTTAGTAACCATCTTTTCTTTAGGCTTCCTTGGAGTTGATTTTGGTTTAACAGCGGAAGGCACTTTGGTTTTCGGTTTAGCAACCTTGGGTTTGGCATCAACAATTTTCTTTTCAGCTACCAGATGCACCCTTAGTTGATGTGGGTTTATTAGCAGATGGTGCTTCAGTTTTTGGCTTAACAACCTTGTACTTAGTTAATAAAAGGGAACAATGAACTTGACGAAAGACATTTTCGGAACGATTATACTCTGCAACACCATATGCAGATTTTGATAATGCTATACGATCTTCCACAGACATCGATGAAGTACGACTAAGTGGGTCTTTGAATTCAGTTGAATGCAATTGTTCAAACTTATCTTCTAATTTCTCGTTAACCGATAAGCAATTCAGTACATGGTTGCTTTCATGGGGTTCTCCGTAAGGGCTGAACAGTTCCCAACCCAATATTGTCCTCACAGCAGATGGTTCATTCGTCTTCCCGGTTCTTATCTCTTTCATCTCACGTACACCTAGTGCGTTGCACCCGATCAACAGTTTGACGTTCTCATCCTCTACTCTCGGGAAACTTATGTCTTTTAAATGGGACCAGGATATGATTTGTTGCGCCGTTGGCACAGTCCTGTAAACTGCCGGTAATTTTTTGACTGTCAATACTTTCTGGACCTTAACGGATGACGAAAAATCTATCGAGTACAACTCTACATCGACCTCTTTGGATAACAATGACGATTCATTACTAAGAGTCTTCAAAGATACCGTTATTGGTTTCCCCTCGAGGCTTAACTTATCAGCTAGGTCATCAACTATGAGAGAGGTATCTGACCCACTATCTAGAAAGGCGCAAGTCTGAATAATCTTCTCACCATTTTTTATCCATACAGGCACTACTGCAAACGCTACTGGTCTCTGTATACACTCAACGACTTCCTCCATACAAAGCTGGATGTTGATGTGTGCATTATTATTATTATTATCTCCTTGCTCTTCCCGCTGCCTATGTAACAACGTATGATGCCTCCAACCACATCCTTCGACGGCACATGACCTCGGTGCTCGACAGTTTCTTGCTATGTGGTTCGCTTTCGGACAGACATTACACAACTTCTTCTTTGATGCAAATTCTATCCTTTCATGAACATTCTTGTCTCTAAACCTTTCACATTGATCTAAGGGGTGGTTTACAGTACATAATAAACATGACAACCCAAGAGTCCTTGGTCTTACATACGGAGTGACATCAGACTCACTCGTGCTAGCGAACGATACTCTCGCTTTATATCCTGAATCAAAGTATCTTTTAGTATCAACCACAGATTGTCTTTGGTTGCGATTAGAAGGGTCACCAGTGACAAGTAATCCATATCTAGTATTAGCAATGTCAGCTTGCTCCTTTACGAACTCAACAAGATCGGTGAACAGAGGCTTTCGGCCTCCTCTGATAATCATATAGGCTACGTTTAGCCACTCTTGTTGAATGTGCGTTGGTAATTTCAGAACCATAGTTTCAATAGTTCTAGAAGAGTTCAAATCAGAAACGTAATTCATCTGCTCGAGAGTCAAACTACATGCTTGCATTTCTCGAGATGGTCTTCTCAACCCATCTGGTTGATTCCTCCTTATATTGGAAAAGTTTAACAAGTTATCGATAAACGTGCGTGCTACGACGTGTTTTTGGCCAAACATTTCCTCTAAAAGCTTTAGGGCTTGATGGTAACCTATCTCTGGTTCTAGTATAGTACAATGAAGGATAGCGGCTTTCGCTTCTCCGTCACAATATTGAATCAAGTAATTTAGCTTAGCTCTAAATCCAATCTTCTCACTTCCAATGCATTCTTCGAAATTTCTAATGAAGTTCCAATAATTTGTCGGTGTACCATCAAACCTTACGACTTCTCTTTTTGGTAAATACAGATTTTTTAATATTGTATTCTCACTGTTGCTTACTGATTGGCCGGAACCTTCACATCTCTGGCAGTGTAACTATTCTAACTGGGTTATGCGCAACCTAGCTAACTCTAGTTCTATCATGCTATTGTTTTTGAGTTCGTTCTTTTCAAGTTGATCCTCGTCATAAACTCCCGAATGATGGGGTGATAACTCTGGAATCTCATCGGGATCGTAGTATTTATTGGAAGTCATTTCAGTAGGTATATCGAATTTACTGTTCGAAACTTTGTAGGAAGCAATTTCCCACAGATTCAACTCAGCTAATCTCTAGACTGTCGAATACAGAGTCTTGGTTTAGCCAAAGTCAGAACAAGTAAGCTATTTGGCTAGATAAACTTTATCTGTTTCTAAAACATAAATTAACATCGTTAGTGTACAAACAAACAGTACGGTCTATTAATACAGGGAAAAACAGAGACAAATAACATACCGAACAGTAGCCAGAGAATAGGAAAAATGAGTCAACAAAGCAAATATTGTTTTACAATGAACATCAAACTGAGATTGGTTAATAAAGAGATACAGTCGCACAAGGTCAAAGAGAGTTAATGTGGTGGTGGGCGTTTCACTTTATTATTGATGAGTTCGTCTATCGATCACATTTTACAATACCTAATGCTTTAAGTTAGTCGATCTTCAGTTAGTAATATTATAAATTCCAATTCTCTACAAAATAACTAATGTACGGATGGGTTGTGTCATATATCATGATTTACAGCTTAGTTTAACGGATCTACACCTAGCTGAACTGCGACCAGTAGTGGGATTCACGACAAGCTTTTCGCTTTACTTGGGACTTATCAGCTGGAAGAAACTTTATCCTTCTGTTGCTACTTACAATGAGATTTGAACCTAGTAACGAATCGATTGAAGTCGTTAATACCGACGATGAGGAAATATAAACCCAGACAAGTGACTATACTCAGTTGTTAAGTTATACATTATGTTATTTAAAGCCTACCTACTAGTGTCGTCTTACCCCCATGTTTTCAATCTTTAATGATTAAATAAACTATTGATTCAAGCAGTTGTTCATTTTTAATCTATTTTTTCTAGTAAAATTTAAGAAGAAAGAAAAACAACTGGAACCATGTTACAGTTATCAAAGGGTCGGCAGTATTGGTTAAATAGAGAAAATGGGCAAAAAAAACCTTGAGTGAAAGAAAACAAAAATTCCTTACAAGCTTTTCTTCATTAAATATGTACAAATGAATAAACAAACATGACATTGGCCACAGCTCAGTGATCTATTAATCGTAAATATCTCAATCCTGCAAGAGATCACTCGCGGAATAATTCAACATCTCCGATTTTGAAGCTGGGTAACCCGGTTTTGAATCCACCAAGGAGCATCAGTTCACAGAAGATGCCAAGGATGCCTTACTAAAGGGTACCGAAAACGCAAACCCAGATTTAGGATCTCCTGCCAACTACATCCAACTACCTGATATCACAACATAGTGCACATGATATTGAGTTATTAAAACTACTGAAAGCACTACAACTTTATTGATTGCCACTAAGAAACTAGACAAAAAATTGCACTAACCACTACTCAGTAGTTAATCAATTGTATATGTACAGCTACATGCTTGTTTTAGGCATTACTTTTGGGAAGTGTTATTAGATAACATAATGTAATGAAGGCTAAAAAGCCAGAAAACAGTAAACACTTCTAGCTGAATTTAAATTGAATCTCCCTGATCAACAACAATAATCAATCACCGAAATGTTTTAATAACTGTGATAGTTGTATTTAAAAACAATAAAAGTCAGTAATAAACATATTCTCAAAATGTAGATTATTACTTAACGGGTTCACCAAGTCTAATAACTACTTTTGATTTGAAAAACATTGTGTATTCATATACAGTATTCTAATTACAATCTAATAGTATTAATAGCCAGGATATTTTTATTAATCTGAAATTGCACGTGCAACAATTATGTATACATACGATGTCAGTAAAAACGATGGTTGTATAAACAACCTACTTGTACGGTACTGAACTTCGTTCCGCAACAGGACTTTCATCTGAATCAGAAAATTCCAAAACACCTTCAGCATTAGTAAGTCTTTGTGATGGTGAAATTGATCCTATCAGAGCTGTCATTCTTCTTTCTCTAATCGACCATGCGTCAATAGCAGCTGGTGTTAAAGTTTGTAGTAATCCAGAGAATGTAGAATTATTGTTTTTAGTATCCGAAAGTGGAACAGAATATTTTTCATCAATATTTGCAAATTCTGCTTCCAAACGTTGTAATATTGTTGTCTTTTCAGAAGAGAAAAATGGACGAATATTGACAGTCGAATGTAAACAAGCATGAAGTGCACCAGCTAATCCAATTGCTGAACTACGCACAATAGGTGAAGAAGATCCAAGTCCAAATTTCACAATTTCTATAAGTGGTAGGTGATCAAAACTGAAAACAAATACGCAGCCATGATGTGATATTTAAATGTTATTGATTTACAGGAGAACTTTTGTGTTGAGAAATTAAACAGTTATCTCACCACTTCAGGTAGATAGGAAAAGCTATGCTCCTATTACACAATAAACAAATGAGTCGTCATGTCATATATGTTATAACCCAGTGAAGATTAAGTTACAGGTGACTTCCGAGGACTGTTAATAGACTAATATTCTATAAATATTCTTATTGTACAATCATTCAATAATTATCATGTTAAGTCTAATGGTGTCCTTGGACTTTAAATGGCCATTTCCTATTGGCCAATATTTTTTTCACTTGTCAAATATTGTACAAATGTTGTTTTCTTTTTTATGGTACGATGTGGTTTGTTTGATTAGTATATAAACAGAGTATGTCTGAAATAAACGATCCGATTCGATTCGATTCATACTACAGAAGCTGGTATTGTGTTCTGGACTCAAGTGGAAGGGCTAGGAGGACATAGGACACTAAACTGCTCGTACCGCCTGAACGTCATTGGTTTGGCATAGTGCGAAATTGTATAAGTCGTATTCTGACTGGTCGATAAGTCGCGTGATAGAAAGCCAGACATCAAGGTCATAACAATATAACCAAAATCTAATTAATCACATATCCTATCGAAACAAAAGAGTCCTGATAATCAACCATTTGACTTGCTATAAAAATATCAGAAGTAAGGAGAAAATGAAGCGCGAACAAGTTTATTCGTAACTCAAATTGCAAAGATTGCCAACGTATTTTAGAAATCTTGGCTAACTAAGGCGATTGTTGAAAAAATTATGTTTACATGTTAGAAAGTGCTTACTATTTTTCGACTTATGCAGTTATAATTTTTATATTTTTTAAGCGGTAAATAATACACTAAACAATGATAAACTAAATGGAAAATTTAAGCATTTGAAAAGATTTAGATATGATGAACCAAGATTAAAATACAACACATATTGAAAGACGATTATCAAATGATTTTGGTGCGATCTCAAACAGTTTTAAAAGATTATGAAGATAAAGGACTGTACGGAAAACTTACCTAGAAGAGGTGGAAAACCCTGATTCCAAAACAATGGTGCACATGAGCTCTAGGATAATGAGGGAACAAATGTTGTACGAACCTATTCTTGGTCACCAGCTACCATGGTACCACATATCTTAACGCTGTTCTCTACTGCCTCCTGTGTTAAACATCTAGGTGGAAGAATCGGAGAGTGGTCCCTCAGGGAAACCACCTGTTTGGGTTTGTGCACCCGGACAGCATCATAGCCCAAATAAGAATTGAATGATAACTACTTTGTGTGGTGCATATATTTTTTGGTGCTCTTTTGTATTAATAATTTGGCGTTTAAATAAATAAATAATAATGACTGTAATATACGCTTCAGAAGAAAGTGTGTTGTCTCATTAAAACAGACATATAGTTACATGTGAAGCAGAACAACATGTATATCAACTACAAAACTAGTTATTTGTGAACAGCTAAGAAACGCTTAATCGTAAAAATATTCACTCACCTAGAATCTAACGACCTTATGGACGAAGATAACCACTTTATGAGTGAAGAATGAATTGTAGGAGAAACGTTTTTCTTCAAACCTGCAATAATGCACTCAACAGTTTTTGTAAAGCCTATAACATTCATTAAATCTCGAAGAGTTTGTTCAACTAAGGGACCGGATTTAGAATCTCCAATGGTAGCAAATAACTGGTCACAAAGCGATATTATCAAAGTCGTAGTAATCCAATTTTGAGATTTATTTTGTGATAATAATTTCGACAAGATATTTAGGATTTCACAACGGACCTAAAATGTAAAATAAATGATGGTTGAGCTTATAGTTCGACGACAAAAGTACTCCAGTGTCTCCAGAAAAACTAATTATAGAAAAGAGCAGTAGTGATTCTTAATCAATCAGAAAATTTTTAATGACAGATGGTCAGTCAGTTAGTCATAAGCAAAGAAGAAACTTGCCATTTCATATCAGCACACCAAGATGAAATTATCAACACAAATGCCAGACTGGTAGAGGTAATAATAATATCAACCGTAGTGGAAAAGATTAGGCGAAGACAATATGATTCGAAAAAAATAAATTAGTTGAATATAAGTGCAGGATAATTTATAACTTAAGATCTAAGGGAAGACAAAGAGTGAATGTGACCGGTTCTGAACCATTATTAGTGAAAAAAATAAGTATATAGCTTAGGACTACACTAAACTAAGCTTTCTACACACGCCTAAAAACGAATTTGTTGATTACAATATCGTCCGGAAAAAATCATTAAATGCCCATCAAAATAACAGTTACGTTGACCCTGTTTAATGGTGTCCAAACTGTAACACGTACTAAATGCATCTGATGATAAACGTACGAGTATATTTCGTTCTTTTTGGTTACATAGATGAACATTGATAATCCGACTAGTTTAATAGTCGATCTTTCATTCACAGAAGTATTCGAAACTGTCAACCGACCTAATTTTCCTGAAAATTCAAGATGTTTTATATGTAAAATGAAAAATCCTCAACTTTTAAATAGCTGTCTCCCTTATGGAAAATGAAATTTAAAAGTTTTTCACCGTAATCATGGAAGTATATGGTTGACGCTAGGCATGAGTATTGTATTTGATACGTATCAACTTGAAAAAGATCCATAAACGGGTTTTTCTGCTACTGCCACTGCTTAACCTTGTAACAGTCTCTGAGCGTGCATTATTACTTACTCCTGTTACTCCTCGTGGAGGAGCATAGGCTACCCACTGACATTCTCCAAACAACTCTGTCCTGACCAATCCTTTCCAGTTGTTTCAAGTTGTCATTCATTATTTTGATGTCCGCCTCCACTTCCCGACCCGATATGGTTTTTGATCTTTCACCTTCCTTTTCCCCTTCAAGTTAGCACTTGCCTTGTGATGCAGTTCGATAATTTCCTCAATGTATGTCCTCCTATCCACCTAAAGCGTCTTTTCCTAATTTCCTCTTTAGATGGAAGCTGGTTTGTTCTCTTACACAGTTGGTTGTTGTTGATGGTATTCGGCTAATGGATACTTAGTATCCTGCGTAGACAATTGTTTGTAAATACTTGTACATTGTTGATGATGGTTGTAATAGTTCTCGAAGTTTCAGCTCCGTGCAGTAGAACTGTCTCGGCGTTCTGATTTTGGTGTTAGCTGACAGTTGTTTTGAGTTCCAGATGTATTTTAATTGTAGGAATGCTACCATTGCTTTACCGATTCTTGTCTTTACGTCTGCATGAGATTCTCCCAGTTTTTCGATGATGCTACCCAGGTACATGAAAGTTTGGACCTTTCTATCAAGTGTGATTTGGTCTGCCTGAAGTCTTTTGGGGGTTACTGCCAGCCGTATGCCCACATAAAAGAAGAGGGTTGGGTATGGGGTTAACAACCTATCTCGTGGAACAGGACTTTGCCAAACAGACGCTAACCTGGTGCAATATACAATCACATAATTCAGTGTTCCAATCATGATTATTCAGTAATTTTATCAATAAGATGAAGTTATCAAATAACTTACACGAAAATTATTATCTTTCACTGTCCCACAATGTAGAATATACTGAAGTAAGTAATGAATATCAGGATATTCTGGAGGATTGGAGTTAATAATAGCATTGATACGTTCAGCAATTTGTAAACGAATCTTCCAAGAAGCATCATTTAATTGTCCAAGTGGTACATTTACGAAATATGTTCTAGAAAAAAAATGAGAAGAGATTATACAATCACTTAGTGGGAAATAGCTCAATTATGAAAAATACCCGGATATTAAAATGGTGGAAGTTTCAATAACTTAAGAACATTTCTGAGCTTAAAGGCTTGATGATAAAGTTTTATTTGTCAATCCTGGATAACAGAATCAGCACAAGTACTTTATCAATGACGTGAACTACAAATTATTTGAACGATCGGTATCTATTCATTCATTCAGATTAATTTTGGCACTCCTCTAATATAAGTAACTTACAAAAATGTAAAGTTAAGTAATTAACTTCATTTCCGAATTTCAACTAAGCAGAAACACTTTTTTGGAAAGACAATAATTTATGGACGAATTAATCAGGTTTAGGATAACAGGTCTTAGATTTTGGTGCGAAATTCATCTACCCATTTGGCCAAATAGTCTTGGCATTTTAGCTGATGTCAGCTCGTGATGAAAAACCATAAAACGAATTCTTAACCCTAACCATCAACTGTTAATCATAATCCTTATACTTCAAATTGCTTTGTAATCCTCATTTAGCTCTAGTAAGTCGGTAGACACTATTAAGGTCACTTTGACATCGCTCAAAAGTTGTCCATAAATTATGGTCTCATCACTTTTTCCTTATTATCATGGTCGACTGGACAACTGTAAATAAGCTCATATCATTTTACAGAACGACCAATAACTACAACTGGTGATTCCAAGAGTACAAATACATTGAACATTACATTCGGTTATATTATTTAGAAGTGAGTATGTACTTCTGGGATTTGTCTTGAGAACTTTATCTCTTTATGCTAGCGTGATACAGAAGCTTGAACCGATGCACATATGTCAGGTTCTAGTTCTACGTTGCGTATGACTGACTGATTAAGTTTTACTTCCGATTCATATCACCACTATTAACTTCACATTAAAACAATTTGATTCATCTGTTTTCTCTGCAGTATATTGTTTATTTTGGTTTAAAATAGTCTAAACTCCTAAGTTGATTAATTACTTCAGAGTACATGACGATGTTTGTGAGTTATTCAATTTTTCTACCAATAACATAAACCATACTGTTACTAAAGACTAATATGATATGAGCAAAACTTACTCGGAAAGCCTGTTCCGTAAATGATCTGGAGACAAATTCAAATCTTGAGGCTGACAATTTTCAATTCTTGGCTTGATAACGTTTTTATTTCCTGCTTTCACTTTACCCTTCCCAGGAGGTTGTTTTAATCCATCACGTTGTATTGAAGAAGGGATTTTCGACACACTCGATTTTAAAGCTGATACTTGAATATTTTGTTTAAAATTATGTAATGTGGACTTTTGATTCGTTGAAAATGGTGTACTGGATGACACATGACCTTGCATAGGATTTTTAAAAACTTCATGTAATGACTGTTTTCCAATTTTAACAGGTTTATTCGAAATACCAGGTGATGCTCTGATAGCTAAAAATTCAAAAACATTTATTAATGACAGACACTGTTTTTTTGTTGCTTACAAATGTCTAATTTATAATTTTCTAACGTTTACTGCTCATTTAGGACTCTATGTGCTATATTACCAAGGAGCACCAAAACTTTTTCTGGAAGATTATAATGTCAGTTAAAAATTGTACGTAGCGCTCCAATAGAAGACAACTGTATATGTAGTTTTACTTATTTAAATCATAATCTCTACCAAAATAACATTTATTGAGCATTAGTAACTTGTGATCATTTCAATGTTTACTAGTTAATTTTCTCATTATTGTATAAAATAACAAATTGAGTGCATACATCAGAAATTTCTAACATATATATTCCAAAGTACTTTTAAGTAACTTAAGAAAATTAAGAGAAATGGCATGATTTTGCATCTAAAAAGCAATTGTCTTTGACGTCTAACACTCGAATAGCTACCATCAGGTTTATTTTGCAACGAGCAGAAAAATTTGAACTGCATCATGTTCTTGAAGTGGGTTGGTTAAAGTTGAACCGCTAAATTAATGATCAAACGTCAAATCTCTAAGCTTTACTGAAGAAAACTACAGACCTGTATAGTAGTGAAATGAATAGAAGATTCAAAGCAATCGATAAGTCTTTATATAAACATTTGCTTACGGGTAACAGGGAAGTCGAAATCGTCGGACAGTTGTTGTTGAACACGTGAGTCTTTAGATTTAGATTTTGTGATCAAGTTTGCCGGATCAGAATTTGCATGGGGTATATTGTTTTGTAATAAACCTTCATTTAACTGCAAGAAAGCAGCGTCGACTCTGAGGCGTCGAGATTCGTCCAACATGTTATCAATAATGGCATTGAATTGCTCACTGGTAAAGTCTAAAAAAATGCGATTTGCAGCAAACACCTGAAAACACGCATCACGGCATTCCGGAGCTTTGTGCTGAGAAAATTTAGCAACATTAGATAAAAGAGGTTTTGAAATTTTTAAGCGTTGTGAAAGTTGAAGTTCTCGCCTTAAATTACTTTTACAAAATATGTGAGCGAGCAAACGCAAGGCTTCAGTCTGTGTTTTTGCCACTGGAGTACTCAATGCAGTCTGAAGATGCACTAAAGCCAGATCAAAAGACATCTACAAGATAAACAAAAATATTGATGGGTACTGTATACCAAAGCACAGTTCAACATACAATTCCTTGAAAAATGTCTTACAGATACTATTATGAGAAAAATAAGACCGAAACGAACTTTAGAAATGAATAAAGTGATAGAACATAAATCAGTAGAGACAGAAAACTAAAATAATGCACACTTTTATCCACATGTTTGCATAATGACTGTCATCAGAGACATTTTGGTATAATTTTTATGGTTACAATATAGAAAAACAAGTGCACTATACACTGCATATGTCATCGTCGGATAATCTAGAGTAGCCATCGAACTCCAATGAAACATTGATCCGATTTAATTTTGAATATATTTCCTTAGATTTTTCACGCTGAACAACACGATTTGAAGTTAAATATATCAGCTACACATACCAGCAGGCAAAATATGATGAAGAAAGGTGAACAAATGAATGCAGTACGAATGTTGCCTTGTAGCTAAACTACTGAATGAATTTGTGATTCAGTTTACATACGCTTAAATTTAGTGCAACAAATAGATATGCAAACATATAGAGAAGCAAACACAGATGTATGTAGACGTATATTAGAATAAGTATAATGTGGTCAACAAGGGGACACATATATAAAGGTTTATAAAATAAATAAGAAGATTGGCATTGTTCATCAGTCATACAATGTCTGGTCTTACATTTACTTAGAATAGGATAGATTTACATAGGAGTGAAATAAGAACTGCTACAAACCTACAAACAATACAGTGATTTAATTCACTACACTGGAATAATTATAATAGCAGTAATTAGCTGAACAAGGATCTTTTCAGCAAATAAGACGGATGACTACCAATGAAAGCTAGGGACTGGTACGTAATGATAACTAATGAGGACAGTGGTCTGATGTGTTTTAGTATATTCGAGAATCAGTAGCCAAAATTCAGAGGTTTCGCAAAAAATACACCCACTAAAATCACATACTGAACAACCACAAAGAGTTAACAGCTAAAGAAATGTAAGAATTGAGTGTATAGTTCTAAGAATAGTCGGTTGATTGGAAGATTGCTTTGAAATGACTGTCCGACAATTCATGAATCTTAGAAACTTCACACCCTGATATAGCTTATAATTTGAGTTCAAGTTAACTCATTAAGCCATGAACAATAAATACTTTGGAAATCTAAGTCAATAATACATAAGCAGTATCACTGGATTTGAACTCATGGTTTTATGGTTGGTAACTATTTTAAATACTTGGAATGTTGGTAAAATATTTGTTGAGTAAAAGTGTAAACTGACAACTGAAAGTCAATAGAATTAATAGATATTGAAAGAAATAACCGGAAATGTCTTAATTATGAACGAGAGGGATTTATTCCAAGCATAATCTTGCACATAAAATTGAATGTTTGGTAACTGTTGTCTATTACTTAAGTCATGAAGCGGAGATAAGTACACAAATATACACGGCATGTTACTATTTTAAACAAACAGTTCCTTTTTAACATAACTAGTACACACTAATGTTGAATAAACAAATTACGTCAATTAAAAGCATGAATAGAATTAAATGAGCTTTCTTTAAAATACATAATGGGAACTAACTGTATCCACAATGGCAGTTGTGGCCGAACGTAAAGCTAGAGACAAGTTAGCTTTAGTGTCCTTAAATTTTAATAAACAAGTAGTTAAAGCACGTTCTGAATGAACGGTAAAGCCATTATTCATTGATTGAGCTAATTCAGATAAGACACCAGCTGCACGAATTACCAACATTGAATGTTTATCAGATGTAATTACCTAGGGAGATAAGAGAGAGGGGAAATACCATAAAAACACTCGGGCATCAAGAAACAGATATCCAAGCAAATTATAGTACACTACAAATAAACTAGTATTCTTAATTCTAATTACACATACAAAAAAACAGGCTAATATGCCGGCGGCAAATTAAATTTGTTAATCAGAAGATAACGATTAGAAATAGCTTGTCAAACCGTAAGGTTAGGTTTAAACGTGTGATGTTAGGGTCAAGTGCCCAACCTAATAAACCGTGATTGAGTTCATGATGTTAAAAAATAAGTTAAACAAAAAAAAGTTAGATCGCGAAAGATAAGTAGCTCATAAAAACCATGTATACACAGAAGGCAGTATTTTGTGTATCCTTTATTTACATATACAGAAAGCACTATTGACTGACCTCCAAGGTGCCCTGCAGAAACTAGTATTTTGTCATATGATTTGACTCCTTTGGTCTCCAAATAATGTGACGTCAGGTGTACTCATAATGTGGTTTTCTCAACTGCTTAACGATTATCATAATTGTTTAAAACATATGCAAAATTAAAAGTTCCTGGTTAATTTGTTCTTTTAATGTAACCTTCTTAAGAAAGTCAAAAGCCGTGTTCGGAACATAAAATTATATAAACTAGTTACATATCATCTAGATAACTACAGATTTCAGATGTGATAATGAATCTGTAGATACAAAGCTTACAATGATACTATAGTATGATGAAGACATTCGGACACTCAACATAATATTCTGTTATAGTTAATAATAGTGAGTCAAAAGTTGTCCGCTTAAATCTAAGGCAATAATTGAATATTTAATTTAACACCATTATTACGCTTAACGTCACCCATTTTAGGATAAAACCAATACGAAATTAATTCAAACAAGCTTAATGATAGTTATACAATAGTTAATGAGATACGAAAAATTCTTACTTGACATAATGCTTTAGTTACAAGCCCACAGATCGCATCGGACAACGTAGAACATTTTAACTGGTTACTGATTACTTCCAAAACTTCTTTTCGCTCTTGCCAATTGCTCGACTCCTATAAATTTAAAGTGGTGTTAAATAATTGATGAAAGGTTTTCACAATCTTTAAAAGAGAGCTTTTTGCAATAGATGTCCTAAGGTACTATTTCAAATTATAAAACGTCTTTGTAACTCAAAATCCTGCATTTATGGATATTTATACGTAAGCTGTAAGAAATCGTAGATATACGGTTTGATTGGTAGTATACATTACTACAAAGTAATACTAGTTTCAGTAAACTAATATCTCAGAGATTGTAACTAGATAATAAGTGACAACCACAGATAATATCACCGTATGACCATAAGACTACATCAACTATACTGAGTCGGTTGGTGGTAACGAATAATACGAGGTTTACTCCTTAGTGACGTTCGAACCTCAACAATCAAGTTTCAATGTGATCATTAATGGTATTTACAAAGGCTTTTGTACACACATACATTTACTTATTTGAACACGAACATTGGTACAAGGGGGTAACAAATGCGTATGTGCCACACAATAAAAATGAGGTTGTGAAGATAGAGAATGTAAAGTGCGCACAATAAAAGGAAGAACGACAACGATATTAATAATAATAATAATAATAATAATAATAATAATAATAATAATAATAATAATAATAATAATAATAATAATAATAATAATAATAATGGAGGCAGTTCAGTCGGTAAAAGTAACATAAATCTCAACCACCTCAGTAGATGAAGATTTACTACCTCATCATTTGATTTCCCAAACTTACTTAGTACCCTATGCCTAAAATCGACATTGCTTACCCGGGTTAGGTGGCCGCGAAATACGCGAGTAATAATTTGAAGACACCTATGACCAAATACCAGTAACCTACAAATATCTCCTATTCTTAACGGCCATATTTCACACCCATTAGGTAGAACGAAGTGAACCGATGAGCAGGAAACTTGTTCTTTGGTAGGTAAACGGATATCTCGCCTATGCCATAAGTGACGTATGATACCAAGCGCTAATCGAGTTTTCTGAATCCGAGTCGAGATTTTCTCAGATACCTGCTTATCAGCACTGATGAAACTTTCAAGATAAGTGAGGCGGTCGAGCGCTAAACTACTTCACTCTCTATTATTGATTCAGTAGCTAACGCAGACCAGTTTAATCGGGTAACCGAAATAAAAATAAAGTTAAGAGTCTATTATTATTGAGAACCCAGGACTATATAGCGATAGAATAGCTTAGTGATAACCTTTTATCTTGAAGTTTAAAAAAATAGAGTGCGCCATTCTTCGATAACGTAGGTCGAATGCTACCACTACATGCTAACGTTACACTATTGTGGATGAAAAAAAGTACACTTAGATTTAACTCATTAAATAGGTATGTTTCTTGTTCAAGTAGTGGGATATGTTGGACATCATATCCTTTTTTAAATAAAACAACATACACAGAAGCAGGTGGACAGTATTTATTATTTGAAGCTGTAATAAAGTCGAGTAATCGAAAAACAATATTTTGATTTGATCTACAAGGTGTTTATCAGGCAACATTGTGAAATACTGTTTCAATTTTGAACACGTCTAGAAAACTGAATCCTTAGCTAAACTGACAACTTACTGAGGAGCACTAACTAACGCCCAAACTTCTTCAAGTAGCTGGTCAATTCCCAACCGTTGTTGCTACCTGGACGTGGTGGCTGGGCTTGCCTGCCGTGATGAACCAATCGGGTTATACTGACTGGAACAATCGTTCCTCAAGGTCCTACCATACCGGGTAGACCGGTTGAAGAATGGTAAGACAAAAAGCAGCAAATTCAAGGTTGGAGGGTGAAGTCGTACAGCTGACTGTACAGAAGGGTGACAGCAGTAAGGTGTTTCCTTCCGACAACCAGCATAACGGGGTGGGGTTAGAAAATGCATGCCCTAAAAACACACCTCACCTTATCCCACGGATATTCATCTCCGACGGTAAGGTTTCAACAAGTACGGAGGTAACACAAAAACTACCTGCAAAAAGGTCGCGTGTGACTGGCCTCAAGTAGTTGTCCCATGGGCACTGCGGTCACGCTCTCAGGTCACTAAGACCAAATCTAACCCAATTTCCTTTTCAGTTACATCCAAAAGAACCCTTCCACAGTGTGGGTAATCGAAAAGTGATAACCACCCCCATACCTATAAAATCACCCAAGACCACTGTATTCATAATCATACTAAAGTTGGTCAATTGGGACTGTTGGAAACATAAAATGCTCCTGAACGCTTTTCATATTTTACAGCTCCTGGGAAACTGTTTTAACTCCCCTAGTCACCATCCCGTAGTCCCTGACTTCTTCAGTTATGACTGTTAAAATCCCCTTATGATTGACTAGAAAAATGACAACCACCACTAAATGTTCAATAATAAAATGGTTGGGAATCACTTATAATAAACCATACCATTGTTCGACAAATCTAACCATTAAAAACATTCTGAGTTTATACGCTGAAATGGTATATGAATCTCCTTAATTTTTGGTTATTATTAACTAACTTATTCTACTTACAACATTCCCCGTTCGAGAAACAAATACAAAAATCAGACAAGTAATCTCAAGAACATCAAAAAAACTGAGATTGAACTGAAACACCATCAGTATATTCAGTATAAATCAGAGCTACACTTGGAAGTTTGTCATGGTCGTAGGTTTCGAACCACCGTCATCTACCTGAATACTACTATTATCACAGTAGTTGTTTGTAACCACTTATGCTACTTTCTAGGCAATTGGAGGTATCCAAGTTGCTCTTGGAAACACAAGAAACAAAACGACAGTAAAAAACTAAACTACTTACCAACTTAGCAAGAGTATCCTCATCGAGCTTCCTCGATTCAGGTGGCATTTTTAAGTTTTTAGAAAGCTATCTGATTGAATATTTAAACTGAATCGCCAGTATTTTCTGAAATGAGATAAACAAGAAAATCAAGATGTTTTATGACTAGCAAAATTAATTGGGACTGACACTGTTCAATATTAAAATCTTGCATTACCAACGTGAACCGTGACTCGAAAAAATATCAAATGCATTGTCAGAAGTACAGAGTTATGTGATGCCAATGTGCAATACAGTATATCTTGTAACCGGCTTACGTTAAAAACATGTGAGACTCCTTAAATGAAAACCAATGGATAGCAACCACCTATACTGTCTACACAAAATAGAAAATAAATATTCCAACTTTCTGAGATATCAGTTTGCGCGGACCATGACTCAGATCTACAGGCTGGGGAGTGGACATAGCTGCCGATCAAAACACTTAATTTCCAAAATCATATCCTAGGTGGTTCAGATGCAAAATGATGGACATTAAAGTTCCTAGGGTAAAGTTGCATTACTGGCTGAGTTGATATTAGTCAAATAACTGCTCCAAAAATGCTTTTTTACAGACGAAGAGAGTTATACAATATCACCTGTAAAAGGTTCACTAATCTTACTCCACATATTTTCGGTACTAGTTGTCGAGTTTACAACGGAAACGAAGCAGCTAAACAGGCTGTCCAGCATAATGTTTCTTTCTCCTTATGACTCATTTATTTTATTATTTATTTATTTGAACATATAAATATCGGTACAAGAGAGCGCCAATATATATGCGCCACACAAAACAATGAGAATTCGAAGAGAAAAAAAAGGTAAGGAGTGTAAAAAAAGAGAACAATAACGAAGAGATTGGTGTAAGGTAGTGTAGTAATAATAATGGTAATAATGAGGGAACGGAAAGGTACAATCAGAAGAAATCTTTCAGTTAAGGGAGACACAACCACTTTTTATGAAGAAAGTAAAAGAAGGTTACAGCAGGATCGCCACTGGCTTCTATTCTGAGACATATCTGATAACGTCTCTAGCCACTGTGTAGCACCATCTCTCGGACCCCAACCAGGGAGTCGTGAAGGACCAACAGAAGTCAGTCCTTTGCAGCTTTCTTTCATGCCACGACACCACGTCATGCACTGACCACCTCTCCGCTTTTTCCAACCAGTCCAAGAGTCGGCAAATAATGCACGACGTGGAATTCTCTGGGACGACATTTGTAGAACATGTCCAAGTCATCGAAGTCGGTGTTATAAGATGGTGACACCAATTGAATCATCGTCATTGTACCTGAACACATGATGCTGAATCTCTGCTTTATTAACATGGTGTTGGCACTGGATGTCAGCAATCCTTCGGAGACAACGACGATTGAACATAGAGAGTCGTCTAACATCCTCAACTCGGAGAGGCCAGGTTTCACAAGCATAGAACAAAACTGTTCTCACGGACGCGTTGTAGATCCGAGCTTTTACAGCCAGACTAACATCACGAAGACGCCAAAGATGGCCCAGATTGGCATAAGCTGTTCTGGCTTTCACTATACGTGCATTGATCTCATCACTCACACCCCCACCAGCACTTATGCAGCTACCTAGATACACGAACTTCTCGAGTACTTCTATCTGTTCACCATCCAGGGTGAGTACAGGATTAGAATCCTGCCAGTCTTGTAGAGGTACTTTGCACTTCGAAGGTGGAAAGCACATACCATTATAAGCCGAAATATTATGTTAACATCAATTAGGCCAGATAATGTAGTGGTCATTCGAGGACAACCAGGACTAATAACCGACGTCAGAGAAAGTGGATTAGTTAAGATTAGACATTATGTGAACCCTTCAGATTTCTTTTTCGAACCCTTCCTATCTAGTGGTATAAGCATATTTATGCGCTCAGTCGTTAGTCATGAACATATGTGGATATCTGGTAGTGACATCGTTTATAAGTGCATGCCTATAAGGGAGGCCAATTACGAAGAGATGATTCCATTACTTCATATATTTGGGTAGTGAAACTTTAAATTTGTGGCAATACATTGATGCTTTTTATTCAAATCTACCATCCTTACATTTTTGTCAGCATCAAACTAAGAGATTTGATGTCACTGAGGACGTGCGGAAGAAGCAACCTCACGCAGCAGCCAGTACATGGATTTTGAATTCTCATCAATGCATGTATTATGAATACACAAATAACGCTGGCATACTAAATGAGGTCAGTGTAACGGACGACTAGCTCGTCGTAAAATCCAAAGTTTTGCACTATACCGGTGGGCTGCAACGAGTTATTAAATTTACGGTAGACGAGTTCGATGATACTAAGGTGTTTTCATTGAGCGGTATCATTGATGCAAGCACACCGGAAAACATGGATGAAAACACAGTAACATTGTAATTAAACCTGTACACAATTAGTAGAGAGACACTAAAGCAAAAAGATAACTACTTGAACCAATCTGTTAATTTAGATGCAAGTCAGAACAAACATGGATGCATAATAATATGAATTCATTATATTTCATGGTTTCTTATCAACTGCTTACAACCAAATATATGTTAAAATTTTTGTGAAGGGTGACGAGACATCAAACAAGACCATGAATTTATCGGAAGAATTTAGACCATCAAACTTTTGTACAAATTCAAAACTATCCCTCAGACTGTAGGGTGCTAGATTCTTACGGGTTGGTTCTAAGCATCCTGTTAGCCGGTAGGCCAGTTTATAGAAAGGTGATCCAGAAAAACTTCGATTTTATAAGAGCATATCAAGTAATGATTCACTTTTATCTATTTTCCTACAGGTGCCCTGATATAGGAATTTACATGTTCGCCGCTGAGTGAAAAAGACCCTGAACAATTTATAGACAGAACATGATATAAGGAACAAACTGAATAAACGTCAACAAACGAGAAAGGATAATGTAAATGATAACTTCAACCTAGAGCTTTTATCGTTTCTAATATATTTTTGCAATATTAAACTTCGCCTCATTTTATAATCAATGATTGAAGAATACCCCCCCCAATAACTGTATTTCGAACATTTCAAAATAATCTACGATAACCAGGACAGCGACTGAAGGAGTACTGTTTAATGAAACGCCGAACATAGTGCCTACTTTGAATTTTTTTTATAAATCAATCCTGTAATGTACGTCTTCCTTATCACTGTCGTCTGCTACACCGGCACTTTATAAACTGATACGTTCTATTTCTTTTTGAGATAGCAATTGATGACAATAGGACTTGCCAGTTAGTAAGAGGATGTATCGCTGCCATAGGAATTTTGATGTCCATGTTATTTCTGTTGAATACTGATGATCAATATAAATTTGATAATATGCGTTAATTAGCATTCTCACCAATGATCATTTTTGTTGGAAAGGCGAAATCCGGAGGAATATACATACCGTTGGCGCAGGCGCTTGAGTGAGGTCGGAAGGAAAGTAGACGATTTGGTGTAGATTTGTGCAAAAATAAGCGATTTGGCTACAATTAAGGTATGAATTAATAAATGTTTCGCCCCGAGACATTTAGGAACATGTCTCATTATTTCTCCATAGTCGGAGAAAAAGGAGACTTTTAGTTGCAGTGTCGCTTGTATTAACACTGAATCGCCTTAGCTGATGCCACCTATATCTTCCGAAAGTTCGCCTATAATTCCCCGTTCTTGATTAATCGGGAAAATCCTTAAGGAGCACAGAACAGGCATATTCATAAACAATATAGTTTAGCCATTGGTAATTTATTGTCCGGCGTATGTTTGATACCACAGAAGTGTGAAGAGCGGTGTATGAGGAAATACAAAAGAGAAAAAACGACCTAACGATCAATTAAGCACAGTGAATTTAAATTTAGCAGTGTAAGCTACCGACAATTAGCAAGAGTGTCTGGTCAGGATAATCTGATAACCGAAGCTAGCATTTGACAGCTCTGAATGGGCTACAATAAAGCAGGATGCAATGCAATCAAATAACTGGGACCCGTGTAGAAGTGAATTCTCTGATGATCACGGATTTCGAAATGCGTATTAATTCTGTTTAACCAGAACCCGACTAACTGCAATTGCGCAATTAAGCATTGATCCACACAACCAATTATTCAGTAACCGAAAAATAAAGGGTTGTTTCTACTTTACCATTACTGGTGTTCGAACAATGTAATGGACAACTTGGATGTAATTGCCGTTGGAATAATTTCTCCTGTGAGATGCGGGTAAGTTCTCAGCTCACTTAGCTTCTAACTAACAGCAACAGTCCAAAATAAAAGGTATCGATCCATACAATCAATAATTTTACATCAAAGGTTGTTCATACCTTACCAAAGCGTTATAATAATAAAAACTCGAAAAATGCGCCAGATAAAACAACAAATTGAACGGAGTATACAGAGTGATTCTAGTTACTCCTGATGCATATAAACAATGAAAAGGTTTACAATTTAGAATCACAGATTTGTCTAAAGATGCACGCAGGAGATGGAATAAAAAACTTTGAATTCGCCTGCCACGTTGTTTTTAATGTGTAACGTTTTCCAAAGACATCAATGATACCTTACGGGTTTGTAAATGTTTTAGACTGTAGCGGTAAATAAATCCCCAAAATAAATAGCTCTTTAAGTTTTCAACATTGGATGCTGACCATATGTTTTAGTGGACTCATCTAGCTAAAGGTGCTCGGTCATGCATCCGCACCAGATCACGTGTGGTAACGCTGTGCTCAACATTGATGATGTCACAGGTATTCAGTGTTTGACAACGCTTCTACCAGTAACACCTAATATATTTCGTTCCCACCCAGAGAAATCAAAAGACAGAGTCGAGGAGATCGGAAGAGTGCATTTGGCGATTACCAATATATCGGAATTCTCTGATCTAATCTGGCTGGCGATTGCGGTTGATGTTGAGCACGGCGTTACCACACGTGATCTGGTGCGGATGCATGACCGAGCACCTTTAGCTAGATGAGTCCACTAAAACATATGGTCAGCATCCAATGTTGAAAACTTAAAGAGCTATTTATTTTGGGGATTTATTTACCGCTACAGATCACTCCCCCCCCCTAGTGGGGCAGTGACGACCCTAAGACGCGGTCAGCCAGAAGTTTAAACCCAACGAGTTTGTCGTTGGTAAACACTCTTCTGATAGCTTACTAAGTGTAGCAGCGTCTGGTCGTCTTTCCTTACTATATGGGACCGGGGTACAACATAGTAAAAAAAGAAAAAGTTACAACGAAAATTTCGACTCCTCGTAAACTGCATCGTTCTTTTCCAGCCGTCCTGGAAAAGAAAAAACAAAGTGTAAGTGTATGTCGAAATGCACTTGTATGTGCGTAAAAACAGAATGTCGGCGAAAAAATGGAAAATAAACTCAAGCACACGTAACGGCGTTAAAAAAATAATTTTTTTGTTTTTTTTAAATAAAAATATACATATATGAGCATATTTAAATTGTTTTTTAAAAAAAAACATTATCATATATCGTAAAAAGAAAAATCGAGATAATATAAAATGTCGATTAGTGCTTTACGTGCAATAGTCGTTTAAATGTTCTGGAAATCTTACTCTTCTTCCAGAACGCGTCGTTTTAAGTTTATTTTCAGACACATTCGGAGTATCATCGCTAGTGTTGGTTGTCGGTTGAGGAATTATGAGTGTAGGAGTCGTTTTGTGCGACTGTACCGAAGGAAAATCGACGTGAATAGGATTTCCTTCTAAATACGCTGCTTTTAAGCGATCGATGCTGATGCTCTCGTTTGTTCCGTTCTTATCGACTATATAGTACTTAGATTCACGTTGAAGAACTTTGAAAGGTCCTTCGTACGCTGATTCGAATGGTCGTCGATGCGAGTCTCGACGAACGAAAACGTGTGTACTATATCGTAAGTCAGGTTGAACGAAAACATCAGTTGATTGAGGTCGAGTGGAAGCACGTTTAACTGAACGCATTGCGTTTGTAAGCCTGTTCGTGTAGGAGGTTAGATCCATGTTCATTGAAGAGGATGAAGGATCCACGAATTCTCCCGGAAGTCGAAGCGTCGTCCCATAAACGAGTTGAGCCGCAGTGTATCCAATGTCAGCTTTCACTGCATTGCGGATACCTAGTAGGACGAGTGGAAGAGCGTCCGTCCACTGTGAAACGTTTGCAGCTGATAGTGAGGCTTTTAGTTGTCGGTGAAAACGTTCTACCAACCCGTTTGCTTATGGGTGGTAGGCGGTCGTTCGGAAGCGAGTGCTTCCTAATAGTGTGGTCAGACGACGGAAAAGTTCAGATTCAAACTGACGTCCGCGGTCTGTGTTGATGGTTGAAGGGCAGCCGAAGTTTGCTACCCATCGTTCGACGAAGGTGCGGGCCACTGTTTCAACAGTGATGTCCTTGATAGGTACTGCTTCTGGCCATCGAGTTAAACGGTCTACGCAGGTTAAGAGGTAAGAGTATCCATTTGAATCTGGTAACGGTCCTACCAAATCCAGATGAACATGGTCGAAACGAGCATCGGGAGTTTTAAATGAGCCTAAGGGACATTTATTGTGTCTGATGACCTTAGATTTTTGGCAGCTTAAACAGGAGCGTGCCCACTCCTTCACGTCTTTATTCATACCAGGCCAGCAAAACCGTTCTGCTATAAGCTTGGTGGTAGCACGAACACCTGGATGAGAAAGTTTGTGCAATGTATTGAAGACTTGCGTCGATAATGTTTCGGAACGATTGGGCGATCCCTACCTGTAGATGTGTCAGAAAGTAATGTTTCCTTACCTGTTCCCATCTGTTTAATGCGTAGTTTAAGGGTTGTGGACGATAACTCGTGCTGAAGATCAGTGTCTTCTTTTTGAAGCTCGGCGAGTTTAAGAGGGTCGATTCCTTGGAAACCGTTCAAGGAAGTTATGCGAGATAAGGCGTCTGCAACTACATTGTTTGCTCCAGAGATGTGTTGAATATCTGAAGTAAACTGCGAAATGTAGTGCAGTTGTCGAGACTCACGGGGAGAGTACTTGTCTGAAGGAGAGCTTAACCAGAAAGTGAGCGGTTTATGATCCGTGAAAAGAGTGAATTCACGGCCTTCGATGTACTGTTGAAAATGTCGTACGGCACAATACATAGCTAGGAGTTCCCTACCGAATGTGCTGTACCTCGATTCGGTGTCTAGCAACCGTCTAGAGAAAAATGCTAAGGGTTGCCAGGAGTTGTTAACCCATTGTTGTAAGACTCTTCCGATAGCCGAGTCCGATGCGTCTACTGCGATACTAATGGGTGCTTCGGTGTCCTGATGTGCGAGCATTGTTGCTTTAGCGATCAGTTCCTCAACTGTGGAGAATGCTTTTCGTGCGGTGTCGTCCAAATTAATGGATTTCGCATTTCCACGAAGTTGGTCGGTAAGAGGTTTCATAAGTAATGCGCATTTCGGTATGAAGCGTCGATAGAAACTTACCAGGTCGTTAAACGTGCGTAATTGCTTGACGTTGGTCGGTTCTGGATAATCCAGAATGGCCGCCACTTTGGTCCTAAGAGGTCGAATGCCTTGAGCATCGATAGTGTGTCCTAGGAAGTCTAACGAGTCGGTTCCGAATTGGCATTTCTGAACGTTTACAGTTATGCCATGTTTTTGTAGTCGTTCGAAAACAAGATCCAGATGCTTGAGATGTGTTTCTCTGTCCAGACTTGCGATTAGACAGTCGTCAACATACGCATGTACGAAGTTGAGACCTCGAAAAACGTCGTCTATGAATCTTTGGAATGTTTGAGCAGCATTCCTTAGATCGAAAGGCATTCGCAAAAATTCATAGAGTCCGAAGGGAGTTATGATAGCTGTTTTCGGAATGTCGTCAGTAGCCATAGGTATTTGGCTATACGCTTTAACCAAGTCGATTTTCGAATAGACAGTTGTACCTTTCAAGGTAGCTGTCAAATCGTGAATGTGAGGCAACGGGTAACGATCGGGAATGGTTTTCGCGTTCAATCGCCGATAGTCACCAGTTGGACGCCAATCGTTGCTGTATTTTTTAGGGACCATGTGCAACGGAGATGCATAAGGGCTATTTGACGGTCGTATGATTCCTTAATCTATCATGTGATCGAATTCGTTGTCCGCTAACCTTAGCTTTTCAGGAGCTAGTCGTCGTGCTTTAGAGAATACAGATGGTCCTGTAGTCGTGATGTGATGTGTAACATTGCTGGTTACACACGGTAGTTTTGGTTGAGTCTGTTGTATCCCAGGGTACTTATCGAGTAGTGGCTGATAGAGTGGGTCTATCATATGCTTAATTGTGACTGGGGATACTCTGCAACCAGTAAAAGAAGTTACGCAAACGGACAAATTAGCGTTTCCGTCTACTAGCCTCCGTTTGCGCGTGTCGATGATCAGGTTGTGGTGTTGTAGAAGGTCCATGTTACGACCTTGGATGTCTGGTTTTTCTATCACACGATTTATCTACCAATCCGGATACGACTTATACGGATCTTTACACTAGGCCAACCAATGACGTTCAACCGGTGTGGGCAGTCTAGCGTCCTTACTGGTCCTATGTGCTCCGAGCCCTTCCACTTGAGTCCAGAACACAATACCAGCTTCGAATCAGAGCAGATCGTTTATTTCAGGCATACTTGGTTTATATATCAATCACACAGACCGCAACGTACCATAAAATAGGAAATAATATTTGTACACAAATAAGCCCAAAAAGTGGCTGTGAATGTGGGAGGCAGTAGTTAATAAACTGAACATAACTTAAGAACCGTAAATCGTACAATAATAAATTATAGGCCAAAATAAAGCTTGTCATAAGAGGGATATAAATATACATAATGTAATTGTTGAATAGTTATACAATAAGAATATTTATAGAATATTAGTCCATGAATAGTCCTCGGAAGTTACCTGTAATTTAATCTCCACTCGGATATAACAGTCCATACCAATGATTGGCATAGAAACATCTGCAACAACGAAGATCCAGTTAATGGGTTTGCGTAAACCCACGTTAAGGTAAACGTACCTTTTGCCATACGTAGCGATCGGTTTTCCGTTTGCCGCCTGTAAGTTTAGAGCCGATTCTTGAAGCCGATAGTTGGGATTCGCTGAGAGAACGCTAACTTCTGCGCCAGTGTCGACGAGGTAGAGAACTCTCGTTGTCACATCTGTGACGTATAACAGACGGCTATGTTTGCCGGCTACGGTTGCCGTTAACGCGTGCCGGCTTGGAAGTTCCCCGAGTTGTTTTTCGAATCAGTCGGTTTCGTGTTGGGAAAATTACAGGGTTTTCTGCAATTTCTGGAAAACTTTCCATACTGGTTATGATACAAGCACCAGTCGGGGTTATCTGTCTCTCGTGGTCTAGAGACAGATCGCTTACGTGAAATGCTTCTACGTGGAGTGCGCGATCTCTTACGATCGGTA